CGATTGGCTGAGGCCAGGCGGTCCAACATGTCTGCGCCCAAATCCGACGCCACTGTAGAATACCCGAGCCCTAATAGGTAAAATACGGGTACAACAGAACAGGCTTTATTGACCAATCAGAAGCCAGAGCCACGCGTCAGGTGCCTTCCATCCGAGTCCACCACGCTGGCCACGCCGCTCATTATATACTGCATCTCATCCATGTCCTTCTCTGGTTGGCTGCCTTCCTTTCCCGCATGCCATTGGATCCAGAGAGACACATAATTGGCTGAGGCCAGGTGGTCCAATATGTCTGCGCCCTAATCCGACGTAACACCACACTACACACCACACGATCGCAAGACGGATAATGTCAACTTCACGAACGTCACACAACAGTAGGTGGACGGGAATGCAGAGTAGCCGCATCCATCTTTTCAATATTAGAGCGATGAAGCAGTCCACCAAATTTTTTTAGAAATTAACAAAGAAAAACCACTTGTTAACCACTGTGAGAAAGCTAATATGATAGCTAAATTTCAAAACCTGTAGACGTCTGCGCAAATAAGATACGCTTCACCAGTTTTGCAGATCCTGGGTCGAGAATACTCGCAGCTACATGCATAGCGCAATGCGCATACGTGGAATACATCTGCCGTTGCAAGCACATCACCCACCAAACAAACGCCCATATCTGAAATTCCCTACGCCACTAGCCTTGCAAGGTTAGGTTCCCCATTGTGTACAAGGCGCAAAACCTCCCACTAAATGACATCCAATAAATTAACAGTACAATAAGGGCGATACGGCGGGAGCTGGGTAACTTCGCAGCACTTCTGGGGAGCGGTAGATAGAAGCATAGGTGTGGACCCTGCGCTGAATCAGGAGGTATTTGTTTATGTATTTATAGGTGGTACATTTCGAGCAAGTACAAACGTAAAAATACATCGGCGTATACTCGCGCGTGGCATGAACATTTTCACGCATACATGATGAAATCCAAGAGACGAGAAATGGGAAGTTAGTATTAGCCGTGAGACTACGATCGGGGGTGTAGAGGAGGTATATTGACATAAGAGTCAGACCAGTATAAAATATTCCTTTTCCGCAAACAGCAAATATCGATCTATCCCGATAGCTGCCAGGGGTGGGGAAATAACTGTTTGCCAAATGCAGATCACAGGGACGTATTCTAACTCCGCATGAATTGTGGAGACGGGTTCTTACAAAAAGGGGAGCGTTTGTCTAAAGATCGCTGGCCACCTAGCTTGCGCCATCGATGTCGCGACGATTAGGAGAATGAGGGGGGGAAGCCTCGTCAATGATTAGACCCGTCTGATGAGTGGGAACGGCGTCACTGTCATCGTCTCCCTCAACGAGGGAGGCCGCTTCGATCCCATACGCAGATGAATGGGGTGCAGAGTTTGAGGGAGGCGTACAAGGATAAGGCTTTGAGTGTTGGGAGTGATAGGATGAAGTGGAAGGGACGACCGTACCAGGTTGGAGGACACATACAGAAGGAGAAGCGCTTGCAGATGACAGTATTTGTGTGCGCTGTTGTTGAGAAGCCTGTGGTAGAACTGCGTAATCGGGACCCATACCACTACCGCTGGGCGGAACTAAAGGTGCTGAGGATGATGAAGTCGATGAGGTGAAGGCTCGACCACCCCTGTAAAGGTAAGCAAAATGCCTAAGACAATAATCTAGTGTGGTAAATTTGATATCTTTTTGTCCTCTTAGATGACCGAGTCTCGCGTACTCATACAAATAGCAATACCGACAGGTCCGTCAACATTATCAATGTGGTAACATACACTGTCAGACTGAAACTGATAAAGCATTAAACCAGGACGCAATGACCAGCACATTTGGCACACTTATATGGTTAACCAAGACATTTCCCATTTCTGAGTTATTTTGGCCTAAGGTAAGTTCAGGAAAGTTTTTTGAGGATATACAGGCAATATTAAAAAAGTGCAGCCGAGATACAAAACGTGTGGAGGTCATATGAGAGCTGCTATAATTGATGCAGGCAAACGCCACAACATGGGGCTTAGAGTAATACTCAATAAAGCTACGATATAGTTGGTGGGTGACTTTAGACTCGTTGTGAAATCCAAAAACTACCAGAACACTTGCGGTATTCGCTAAGCGTTGACTTAGAATACGACTAACACATGCATAGAACACCTGTGATGGCATTTAGGAACAGCAGCTGTAACACGAGGGACTAGAAAACACTAATGTAGGACTTCGAAAAAGGTGCTGATGGTTGACAGTACTGATATAAGAAGCAAAATAAGAGCAAGTTGCGCAGCACTTCGAAATTCATTACGAAAAAAACCTTCACATACCGATAGCGGACCTTCGCGTGTGTGGAAAGATGGGACTTTAAGTTGGTTGATTGAGCAAAGCGCTTGCTACAGCCTTCGACAGGGCAAAGGTAAGGACGGTCACCCGTGTGGATCCGATAATGTGTTCTAAGGTTAAAATCCAGGGAAAAACGCTTCCCACAGCCCTAGAAAAGATTATAATACGGATGAGGTAACGGCGAAGCGCCTATATTCGATATTTCTGCTTGTGGGCGGTTTTGCATGACCGTGTCATTCTGACTCATCAAAACAGACGAATTTAAATTGCCAAACTATGGATAGTGATGCATTTATGACAATGAGAATTTCAGTAACTTCAATCGGGTATAAAAAATGAGTCCTCCACTGTTTTAACTGACACCAAAGCACAGAAAGCAGTAAGGTAACCAATTATCTTGCCGACTAGAAGTATATTTGTAAAAGAACTAGAACTAAGGAACTCGATACTGACTGCCATACCGAAAGAGCGAAAAAATGGACACCAGGGTTCCGATTTGTGTTTCATGACTTGCACACAATACAACTGGGTTATATGGAGCGAATTTACGGGAAGAAGACCATGAACAGCATGGTTCAAAGGACCACAGACGACCTAAATTGATTTGCAGTCATTTTGTTTAGCTGATAGGAATAAAATGTTAATTCGAACTGCCTGCTGCAGTAATCAGATTGCACCATCAAGTTCAACAGGATTAACCATTAACAGACAAACTGAAAAAAATATCTACCTACACGAACGTTAAGTCCGAATTAGGCTAAGGCATAAAGACATACTTGACTAGCAGAAGCCCTTACCAAACTTGCATCAAAAATGTGATGGAGAAATTCTACCAGTTAGTGTTTGTAATCAAAACTTTAGCCGACGCTGGAAAAATCCCCGCTTAGTTTTTTCATGCTATAGCAATTAGTTATTTCAAATGGGTACAGACGATTTACTAAACGAATGCCAGGCCACCAGGGGTGGCATCAAAACAGGGGCTTTTGTACTTATACACGAATGCGTGTAAAAAGATTGACTCACCTCGAATGTGCATTCAAAAGGCTTTTCTCCCGTATGAACCAACTGGTGGCGTTTTAGCTTACTTGATTCGACAAAAGCCTTACCACACTCAGCACAGACGTGCACGCGAGGTCCATGCGTGTGGAGATGTTTACGCATGGCAGAATTGTCACGAAAAAGTTTTCCGCAATTTTTATGGGGACACGCCACTGTACGACCCTGTTGGAAAACTTGAGAAGACTGCTGGCTGGGCCCCATGCGAGACGCTTCTTCGCCATAATCGGTAGCAGAGTTACCGATAATGCAAGAAGTGTTAGCATTTGTGGGGTCTCGACGCTTCAACGTTGCAACCGTCATTGTCAAAATATTGGAAAGAGCAGGATTCGTCTTGTTAGAATTCACGTTTGCGTGTGCAAATAAATTCGATCCAATAGTCTGACCTAAAACGATATTACAGCAAGATATTATGAGACATTTTCACCGACGAGAGTGAAGCGCGCAATGGTAGCACACATTATAAAGCAGCAGGAAAATCTATGCAACGACAACAGCAGACTTCGTGAGGCCTTTATCAAGAACTAAAACACTCGTCAGACATTGGCAGCAAGAAGCAAGCAGTAATGACGACTGTTTGGGCCAGTGCTGAGACGTAATCCTATTAATGATGAATTTAGGAGAAAATTGGAGCTTGACAAGCCTTTTAGAGACATCAACAAAACACTTGCCTCGGGGAAGCAGCTGACGCCCATATTCGGCCCTCCGCTTGAAAGCCAAAATTCGACGAGTCGTTACAACGCCAGACTGGTGATTACCCGAACTATTGCACATTGGAAGAGCTTGATTAATTTTGAAAATTCTGGGTCGGACACCGTTAGCAACAGATGTCGAGGAATGAATCGGATACTGGACACGTCTCTGTACAGAGGCAGATGATTCAGACTTAAATTGAGATTGCGGGTTAACAGTAAGAGGGATAGAGAAATCCTCCAGATCCGAACTATCCCGATCTTCTCTCTTACGACAAACCTTACGAAATTGTTTTTGTCTGAGCTTTTTTCGTCGGGTACTTCGACGCAGAAGACCTGATGGTGTTTCGGTGTTGGTGGATTTTTCGGGAACAAGAATTTCCTCCGAAGCCTTTGTCGGATCACTGCCAACCACCTCTTCCCGAACGCCAAGAAGATCATTAGGATCCATTAGGAAAAGGTCACCATAGGGATCACTTCCTGGAGCAAAATCGCCAACCTCAGCTCCAAAGAAAATATCTGAAGAATCTGCAGGAAGCTCCTCCACCTTTCCGTCAAAATATTCGGTCTTAATGGTTGGTTCACTGTCTTCAAACATCTCGTTTTTACTGCGGCCGTTCGTAAATAAAATTTCTGCCATAATCCTCAATGGAATTTGACAGAGAACCTACGGCTATTCGTACGCCGAAAGGGCATCAAATCAGAAAAGACCGCCTATTTTCCCGGTTGTTGACAGATTTATGCATTTTAACAACTCTTACACAGTTATTTCTCATTTTTGTTTTTATCTTTATAATTAAAAATTGAATTGCTGTTAAAAGCAAGTTAATATTAAAATTAGCAAAAACAAAAAAAAACATTTTTATATAAAAGATTTGAGTTGTATACTGGTCTCAAATTTTCGCACTAATTTAAATAGATGGGCCAAATTTTGGTCGTCTATACGGCTTTTCTAGTGCCTAAAAATTGCTCACTTGCGGAATTATGAGACCTTTGCAATATCCACATAGCCTTCAGAATATAAATTCGTTTTTTACTTATTCCTGGAAGTTACTTGATTTATTTTAACAATGGCAAAATTATTTAAGTTTTATGACAGACATAATTGCTGCATAAATGTGCACACAATATTTTGCGTTGATCAATAATGAAAGGGTAAGTAAAATTAAATGTAGAGATCGATAATTAACGGACTCAATTACACTAAATGTACTTTTCAACCTAATGTAACTTTTTGGCGAAACGATTGGCAAGTTCTCAAAAATGTGAATTGTGCGAGTATTTATTTTAGCTTCCTTTCTACTCGGTGCTTGAAAAGCTATGCAACTAGTTATCAATGGCTTCCATATTTAAATGATTGCAATGATATCTTTGACATTTCTTGCTCCAGGTTATAACATAATGGAAATTCAGAAAGAAAATCTGACTACGTTGCAACATTTGTAAGTGTGCAATAATTTTTGAAAAAAAAGTTTAATTAGCCATATATTATCAGTGGAAAATATATTTTTAGGTACTTCACATTTATTGAAATTATTCAAAATAAACATCAATGGGAGCAGTAGAATTCTGAAACCCAAAACAAATAATGTGGTGAATACTTCCCCATTTCTTGAAAACTGATGGACTTCATTAATGGAATTGTGTTGGATAAACTTTTTTCCAACATTTTCCTTTATTTATTTAAGATCAATCTCTAATCTTGTGACAAGGTTAGTATCAACATCCAATCTAAAGAGATTTGATTTTCGTAACATGAAGTTCGGTACTTTGAGGGTAATGTTGAACACGGTCATCGTGATATTCAATCTCAAAATCTTACGAGTGTAATTTCCATACTCTACATGGTAGCAGTGATAGACAAATGTGAAGCAGTCTGCAGTAATTGCGAGAACGATGTTATTTGTCAACAGAAAGAGGCAGTCTGGAAGCCAAATTGGTATAATACACCAAAATGTTTCATAACAAGAAAAGGATAGGAGGCTTCAACACATATTCTACTAGTGACCCTTCCGGAAAAACTTCAACGCAGCGATTCCAGAAGCCAAGACAGGCAATCCAATCGGTGCAAACAGGGGTAAGTAGATACCGAATACTTGATCCGCCTGAAACAAAAGCAAGAATTTGATTTATCTTGAAGAGAGCACAATTAAACGTACCGGAAAATAGAGTAAATCAAGAAGACTGTGGTCAAAAAAGGCCGCATCAGCATCTTCGTGAGCGATGCGGGCTGAAACGAAGGCGTTGGCGCAGGCGTTGGTGGAATGGTGACTGGCCAGTTCGGAGACAGCCTCAACCCAGGCGGCTACGCCATGCTTGACGCGGCCGGCAACATAGGGATTGATTACCGTAGTAGGTACGTGCTCAACCATATTTACGAGTGAGGTCAAAATCAAGGAGACCGTAGAAAGACTTTCGATTGTCCGAAAGCGTAACCAAGAGTCAAGCTGTAGACAGTGAATTGTAAGAAAGCGGTGATTTAACGTGCAGAAAACGCCCCGAACGGTACTTATTCCAATTATGCGACCTGAAGCAATTGTTCGTGAGCGCAAACTCTAACTTTAAAATCGACGGCATGAGTGATTCCAGGTACGTCATCACGTCGATGACATTTTTTGTTTTCCGAGATTTCGAAGAACGAAGGCAAAGGCAGGTGGGTCGGGAATTTGTCATTATGTGACATGTTAAATTTTGGAAACTACCTGAAATCGGCGCTTCTTGATCCACGCCACTCGCAAGAAAAGTTATTTTTACATTTAACATTACACACACTCACTTTGCAGCGTGTACTACCTCAGTGTTGAGAGTGGAACCGCGCAATGATTGTGTATCGCCGTTTGCGTCGCTCACTTTACAATCGAAATTTATACGTAATTTTACCAAGTAACCCAGATGTAACCCCACCCTGACTTTAATCGATAAACATTATAAATAAACGGAATAAAGTGTTATAACCTTAGAGAAATTTCCTATCTCTTTTGCATATTACAGTTTACATTTTGAACATTGACTGTAAGATTGTGACTGCGATACAGCAATACATGCTTTCTTATACAATCAAATTCCAGAACAAATGCCCAATTTAAGCATTTTTTCGTCAAAGAGCACAAAGCATTCATAATATCTCTAATACACAATATGACAGAGAATAAAAACTTAAGTAGCACATAAATGTCCTATCTATTTCAATCACATTCGATTGACAACAACCTAGAAGCATAACGTTTGTAGAAAATCATCAAGAATCCCATCCAGAGATGTCGAGTACACAAAATATATCAGAAGACCCTCTGGCTATTTGTGTGATTAAGATAAGGGGGATATTTTAGATTTGAGTTTAGGGAAAGTAGTGTCTGCGCACAGGCATTTTACAGTATGATTCTGCTTAACGCGGAATTAGCGCAATAAAGTTGTTTACCTCCCGCTTGACGATTTTGCCTTTTGTCGAGCCCTGTTCCAGAAGAACAGCTTCACCACCTCCCGTCAACGTAATCAGAGCATTCCGTCTAACCGAGATCCCAATAAACGAACGGATAGCATTCACTAAAACCGTCCCGAGATTGGTCAAATTGACATCCACGTCATCAAGGGAGATAAACGCTCCCCATTGTGGCACTACAGCAACGCTTGTAGGTACACCATCGGTGGAGAGATGGAATCGCAGCGGTCGACGTGTACTGACATTGAACTCCCGCTCCGGGTTGTCCACGACAATGACGAAATGCAGACCCCCATTAGTACCAGCAGTTTTGCCGCCGTTGATTTTCCTATCTGGTGTCCCACGCTGTGAGGAGTGCTGACCGAGGTAGGCTTCAAGGGAGTTGAGAACGCCAGAGAGTTGAGTTGCAGTGTAGTATCTATGGCTTCTGTCCTTAGATATGCGGCTGCAAAAGCAAATGGCTGAATTAATGATGATACTAGACGATGACCGGCAGCAAATCATTGAAAGAACGCACAAACAAGGCTTCTTATATTTAAGTGATTACGGTCAAATATTCACGTCGTGATATTTGACGGCTTAAGCACTGCAATGTAGGCTTGGGCTAATTTTCGTTTCCGATTGTGGTGCTTTGACGAAATGTACTTGATGCAGTGCAGTGCGTCAGATATTTACTCTCCGCTAATGTACTCAGATCAGTTCCAGTGTCCGAGTAGGTCAATTAGTCGGATCGTCATTTTGATCATTTATCGCGCCATATATGAAAAAAATGCCATCAAAAAACGTTACCACACAATCGGGTTGAAAGCCACATGAAAAACAAGCACTAGAACCAAAATGCATCGGCGTCTTTTGACTACAAACAGACCATATTAAGAGGATATTATCTAGCTGGAATGTATGCTCGTCGTGTCAAGATTCTTCAGAAGCGAAGTACATCGGCAACATCACACACTATATGACAAAATCAGAATCGTCCAGCAAACAAGTGGCAAGGGATCTGAATAGACAAAGAACACTTATTTATGTTTTGTGTGGAGTCCTAAACCCAATAAAAACCCGGAAGTAGGAAGGTTCCGCTAATAGGTAACCTGTAAAAGAATTTACTGCACCATCAACAGTGAGATGCTACATGTCCGAGGGGGAAGACTATTCGAAATCGCTCTTTTGTTCAATGTGAAACGAGTAGACCTAAAGTGAGATCCATGACAGTACATTTAGGGACGACCAACCACTGAATACATCGTAGTTGTAAGTTGACAATGCACTGATACTGCTAACAAGTTGTTACTCAATGTCGTAATATAAATACCCAAGTCTTGGTGTAAAATGCGACTTTAAACGGGGACACTGTTTCCTTATAGACGCGTTAGTACTTACTAAGATAAAACTAGTACTCTTTGGGTCCACAAGAAATTAAGAGACCGCCACATATCTACTAGATACCATAAAACAATCAAAGAGACAAGATTCATGATTCTATCAACAAAACCAACCTCCACAGGATTCCGTCCAGTGTCACCGAATAGAGGTATTGAGAGTATACATTTAAGTTGATGAACCGCTTCAGATCAACCAATCCCGGTTCTACGGATATACGCACCCAATCACCGAGGCTGAGGCCTTGGCTGTTCGCTGTCCATAGCCAATCATCAGTAAGAGGTAGGCCTGGACCAGAGTCGAAGGCACTAACCAAGCTAATTGTAACCTCGTAACCAGGTCCGGTAGGAAGCTGATGTGTTCGGATGCGTGCGAGTTCTGCAAGAGCTGAATTATAGTCGCTGTGGTTTAGGTGATCAGGCCTTGAGTTGAGTTGGTGCATATCACTACCCGCCCACCAAACCGTGGAATATATCGCCTATTAAGGGTAAGATAAGAAGTAGGATTATAAGTGTACAGCTTCACATACCTTCAAGGTCTTTAAGTCCGTCAGTTAAAACGAGTTTTACAAAAAAAAAACATTTCTATTAATTACGGACAACTTTACACATAACCCCACATTTTCAATAGTTTTCGAGCCCAAATTCGGTTTTTTGAGGCCCGACTCGCACAGAATTACGCTAATTATATGAGACTAAATCTCTGAATAAAATCATTTACATGGAGCTTGTGGCAGTCCACAGTCTTATAAACAGAAAACTGGCGGGTTTTTTTTGCTATTTGTCATAACAAAGGAGAGTTCCTTGTCCGCACATTTGGTAAGAAGGGAGTCCCAAATGGGCTACCAAAACAAACACTAATCCACAAGGAACGCGATAAATTATTGAACTAAAAGTTGCAATTGATGCCATTCTAGAAGTATTTGTGAATTCATGCTCAACTTTAAATTTGCCTTAGGCCAAAATGGAAGCCCTTGGCTGCTAACCGATGAGTTGACTCAGTATCTAACCCCTATAATGCAGCCGCGATTTTTCCTTGACGAGGTGACAACCAGTTAACATGTCAGAAGGAAGACAGTGACAACAGTTGCGCTAAATAAGGTGAACACACCTGAAGCCTACTAGGCACAACCAAGTGCTCCTGCAAGAGTGGAAAAATTGTCGAAGACAGTCCGCTCACGCTACTAGAAGGGCAAGATTCCCGAGATGACTTTGAGATGCAAGGCGATCGGACGTAGATAAGGTTTTTCGTGGGGGAATTACGAACAATTGCTCTGAGCGGCTCACCAGTAACTGATTTGAATCCCGGGAAATCGTTAGGTAGGATTGCGAAGTAATACGAGTCGTCGACACTAGAACAAACAATAAAATCGACTCAGTATGAATTTGGAAAAAAAACAACATTTCCAATCGGAAAATCTCTCTAGATAATCTAACACAATATTGGTTTAGAAGTGTTTTGGGGAAGTGGAAAGTATTAGACTGATTTCGAGATATTACGAGCTTCGAGCCATAGACGACTGCACACTGTCTCATGCAAAGGGCTGCAGTAGGGCAGTAGTAGTTATGATTTCTAGTCAGCGTGTCTATTACCCAAGTATGACTGCCGAACTTCCCCTCAATTACACAGCAACGGGACGACAGGTAATGCTGTTGAGAAGTTATTTTGGTGCAACGATGGGTCAGCCGCGAGTCACGGTCTACTAGTACGAATCGGGTCTTTCTGTGAAACAATAAGTACGGATTGAAGTTTAAAAACGAGTAACACATGCTAAACAACACATAGCTAACAAATATGGCTTGAATTACTCTTGCTTTTTATTCGATGAATTGTGGCCATCGAATAGTCCAGGCAGCGGTAATTTGCTATCCAAGTCGGTGGACACGCCCAATGAAAAGTACTCGAAGATGTCAAAGGCGGGACGACTAATGTGGAATTTGTAATCAACGCGAACTGGGAGGTTGGCGGAATCGCTAGTTTCGCCACCCATGTGATGGGAGTGCTGGGAATCCAAGTTGCGTTGAGCATCAGCAGCTTGGGAGTACAGATACTGCTTCAAACTCTCGGCGTCCTCAATAGAAAGGCGCGGGTCCAAAATAATGACACCAACCTGAGGAAGAAGTCAGTAATGTGATGTCAAAACAATGACTAAGCCCCCCTAGCTCGATATCAAAAAAGATCTGATCATGCTGCTCACCAACGAGAGGAAGGTACGTGCTTTGAACCAAGAAAAAACGCTGATCAAGTATTACGGGTCTAAGGCTTTTAACGTTCCCATGGAAGTTCCGCAGAAGCCATGGGATTAATTTGGGACCAAATTTCGTTGGTTTTGCAATAACTATTGCAACAAGCAAACCCTTAATTATAACACGTCCTCGAAGAAATTTAAGCTCGAACCCCAATGACCCAGGTTGAAAGAATGTAAACTTCTGAGACAACAAAACACAGCCTCGGCACAGCTTTGGTTCCGATATTTAAGAATTCAGCATAAATTTGCAGCAACACTTGAACATCTTAAAGAACCAATGAAAAAAAAACAGCAGAAAGCATAATGAGCCGAAACCACTCTCTCGCTCGTTCTCTTCATTTTGAATTTTGTCACGCTGTACGAAAGTGATGTCAGATCAAGACCTCTCGCACACGGGATTTAGAAATACCTGTACCTGTACTAAGAACTTAAAAAAACTGATATTACACATGACAGCCTAACTTACATCAACTGCAACAGTGATAGGGCGCTTTAAAGTAGCCCGGATTTTTTCAGTTGGTATTGAATATTGTTCTGGGGACGTGGTGAGCCACCAAAGTGGCAAACCAATCACCAGAGCAACAAGAAGGAAGAAGAGCGATATGCAGTGAAACCATCGACGCTCCTCAAAAGTTGGCTGCATTCGTGCTAACTCCTCCTTCTCTATCACGTCCTTGGTCTTTACGTCCGGTAATTCATTTGTCCCATCCATGCCTATTTTAAAAAAGGTGTCTCGGTAACAGGCAGAGAGGTGATCTGTTGATTTGAAATGGAAAAAACAGCCACACCCAGACATTCGGGCGTTTAAGCCGAGAGCAGAGTTAGATACATGGGGCACTATGACGGCTCGAAAAATTAAGTGCTAGACTAATTATGCTGTTTACAGTTGCAAAGATGATGAAGAAAGCTCATTGAACAGCCTCACATACCCTTGTGGCTTCAAGAGCCTTAGGCGCACGAACCGATTCTATGGTTTCGGGTAGGCGATCGTTTGTGTAGAGTGAGAAAGGATGGGTAAAAATAAGACCAGGATATCTGCGAAGACCAATCGGCTTACGCAATGGTCCCACTTGGTGCCATTAAATGCCAAGCAATATCGACCTCAAGGACAAATCGCATGGCAAAGGGGCGCGGAGTAATTAACATGAATTGTGTCAATCACCAATGACAATCACGACAGTACGGCATGGTCAACAACTCAAGGATGAACAGACAGGCGAAAAAGCGAAAACAATATATACGTACAGTAAGAAATTGAATAGAGACTTTGTAAGTAGTAAAAAACAGAAGCCTAAACTAGTCGAAATTCTACCATTTTATAATGTAATTAAATATAAATTTAGAAAGTTCTACGTAGCTGGATGGTTTAAACTCAAGTAAAAGCAAAGCACTCTGGGAAAAAGGTAGAAATAGTAATCAAACCAAGCATAGGAAGTCAACTAAAATATTCATAAAATTAGCAGCATTGACTAACTGCAATAATTCGTCAGTGAAGTACTTAACGCGTACCCTCATATCTGCACAATCAGCGGAATTATTCTACTGGTTTCGAAACTACCAGGCACAGTCACGATCCCAATGGCCTAATTTTAAGAGCCTGACAATAAACCAATGCACGTATCTATAAAGAATTCTAGGGAAGAATAATACACCGACCTAAGTAAACTATTGAACGAATCAGTTACTGGGACTCGGATTCACCTTTATGGTTACTTTTAATTGAGCCTTGATAGGTTTCCAGAGTTACATCCAATTCCTTTGGTTCAGCGAGCACATGATGTTAGTTCGGATGGGTCATGAAGACTTGCTTAAATTTAAATATTAGGTAGACCTGAAATTTAACTTATACTAGGACAAGACCGTTTGATCTTTTTTAATTAGTGCACAAGCCTTGGCACCCAGAGCTGAAAGTCCAGTTTTTCTAACCACTCACTGTGTCACATTATACAACAAGTAATTCGACAAGACTTGTTCCAAGATCTTGTAGGAATCTAAAAAATTTACTGATCACACAGCAAAATAACCCGTAAAGTAAACCCTATTTATGCATAGTAAATAAAATGTATGATGAGTGTCTGGTTCCTAGGCTTTAGGAGAACCCAATCAGACCTCAAAATAATTCATCAGATGACTAAGGTATAGCTAAAAAACAAAGAAGGTGAACCTGTGTTTAAATATGTTTACTGTGATTGTTGATAGCACTAGTTGCAGCCATAAAGAATAAGAAAACTGTAATGACCCAATTCATTTGAATTAATACTAGAGTCATAGGTTGTCTGCCTTAGAGGTGAAATCCGATTAGGTAAAAAAGAAAAACAATTGCTAGACTCACTAGAAACCAGGAACTGTTACCCAGTTAAGTTTTTTGGAACAAACACAAACAAGCATTAATCAAAAAGAGTAGGCTTCAATACATTAGGTGTTTGATTTTTTGTACAATAACAGGACAAATTTAGTTGAGCCCAGTGTCGCTTAGAAGTCTGGAAAGAGCCTGATCTTCTTTGTTAGTCACGCTGGCAGCAGTGGAGCTAGCATCAACGGCGCGAGCCTTCTTACAGACACCTAAGTATGCGGCTGAAATAGGTGGTTGTACAGGGTTGAGGGGAGAATAGTCATCATCGAGTTCATAGCACGAGTCTGCGTCGTAACCGGAAAGGTCGCCACAAGCGACGAAAGGGAGGATAATGCGCTGCTCCGTGTTCAGCTGGAGAAAGAAGAAAAAAGGCATAGACGGTTAATATAAGTCAAACAAAAATAAAAGGATTTACAAACCTGGTCCAGCCCTTCGAGCCAACACATGAGGGACTCGACTGAATTTTCGTCGTTCCTTTTGCTGTCGCCTTCCTTGATAACAGTGCTAGTCAAAGACGCTGGAAGCAAAGTGTCCCCACGAAAATTTTGACAAACAACAAACGATTCAAGACTGGAATTTCTGCTTGAGCTGGGTTTTGCGAAAACCACATTCCCAGAGAATAGACAACGCAACTGAGCGCCTAGAAGGCCGGCCTCGCGGCCCCGGAAGACTTTAGCAACGAAGGTGCCCCCATTCTCGAGAATGCGTGCGCAGATAGTAAGGGCGGCGAGCACCAGATGAGACTGGACATACTCGTCCAAATCATGAAGTCCAGTAACTATATAATGGCAAAAAGAAATGAGAGTCCAAGCATGAAAACTAAGAACCTGCAAGTTTAATAGAAATATGCTTAGAATATGGGCAAAACAGTTTACAAAATTAACTGAGAACAGAGATGGGAAAATAAACATTTTCTTAGGCACAGTCCACATTCTGGCAAGCAAAATAAGTATTTTCCTTAAAAAATTAAGTTAAAAGAAAATATGAGGATACTAAGATTGTAACGAGAAAACTTTAGAAGAACGTCTGTTTTCGAAGTCTCTGAAATGTCTAGAAGTTTATGGAAATTACCGAAATGAAATATCCGAAAAATATCCGAGACATAAACATGTTACATGGCATAAGGGTCCTATTCTTCATCGTGAAGAATCAAACCTGCCCGCAGAAACACATTTATTTGTCTACAAGGACCTAAGGTCAAAGAACAACTTATACTATACAAAAGGCAAAATGTCAAGAGGGATCATTTCAATGATAATTATTAGGCCAAATAATGGCTATCCCAACCATTTTATCGGACAAACACAACTAGATTGGTTTATTATTGTCTATAAATAATAAGCCGGAAATGCCCAGAATCAATGCTTCAACTAGATAATTAAAAACTAACAAACGTGGTAATAATACGGGAAATAAGCGACAACATTGAGCGTAATTCGTATGAGGGCCAGTAGCTACTTTCGACGGCGACGGCACTCAATTAAGTCTTACCATCAGGTGCTCCATCACACACCACAAGCTGGGCTTTCTGTCCCTCAAACTGTTGAATAACACGGTCAGCAGTATCACGACTAGTGATGTCACCTTGAAGCTGAATAATTCCAGGAATGGGGGCCATAGCTTGCAAATCGACAGCAACAATTTTCACATTTTGGCGTTCTGATTCTGAAAGTGGTTCCCACAATCGCTTTGACAAAACCTGGGACCAGCTTCCAGGTGCTGCGCACAAATCTACAACACGTGTAACCGGGTTTCCCTCATCTGTAAAGCAAAAAGGACTGTATTTAGTTGGACCAAGAGTAACAATTCCAAATCGCCCATAAAGCAGAATGCGGTTGATAAAGTAAACAACTTCAAGTAGAACAGGGACCTACGATCTTTAGACAGAATGTCAAATTCTTTGTCTATTTGCAGCAATTTATATGCACTTCTAGCTCTCCAACCCTCTTCTTTTGCTAGACGATAAAAAATGTCACGTTTATCGCGGGAGGATTTCCCCATTGTAGTGACAAAAAACCTGAGGGCTGCGAAGCCTAATTAATTTGTTAAGGGCAGATCGCAAACAAATTATTTAAACACCAATGACCCATGCACTAATATTAACAGAATAGTTTGTACCTCCTGAATATTTTTCCTATTTTTAGTCCATAATTTGCGGCGAACTTCTGATAAGGCCCTAACTTGACCAGGACGGCTAATATAAGAGCAGGCTTATGAGGATTAAGGTATAACAATATAATTTACTATGTGTCACGACGCCACCTACCATGCCATTGAACAACTCTCATGCCTGGTAAACTTTTACTATATTCTTACTCCTTAAGACCTACCCAGTAATTAGAATTTGGATTCCTACGTTTCGTCCGGAACACATCGACGAGTTGGCTCTCCCCATTTCTAATTACCTTGTACTGTTTACCGAAAAAATCCTTTTGGAAGTTCAAGTCTTTATCTGCGTTATGTTCTGTGCGTCTGCTGCAATCTTGTCTCTTTTACAGCACATAAATAGTCTATCTCTCTTCTTAGATCCCACTCCTGCTCGTTCATTACATTTTGGTGGCAGCGGTTACCCTCTGGTGTTCTTTCTCTGCATCGGAGTCTAGCTCACTACCCTCGCAACATTCAACCTGCACTTACACACTGTTTTTCCTTCAGCATCACATCGCTCCTAACTTTATCCTCTCCTGAGACTTTCCAAAATACAGGCCATGGCCATGCCCCCCGGCACACCGGACTGTTCCCAATATGGTCGACTGGAAGGACGAATTCGGACACCAAGACTGTCAACATAATGACTGCGGTTTCTCCTTTGTAGCCAGCATCTTTTTGTTTAAAAATCTTCGCGTCCCTCAAGTTTTCAGTCCATTGCACCCAACAAAGCACTAAAGGCAGTGCTTTTCTATACAGGGAGGCAGTGTAACACGCGCCATTCGACTTACACACGCCGATCTGGCCTGTTCTTTGTCCTCCTCTTCCCTCCCGCTTTCTCGACTTCCTCAAGGCACGCCCGTGAGTCTGATGTCAATGCTGACCCAACTTGCGGTCATCCCTTTCCCAGCTCTAAGTCTCCCTAAGCTCTAGCCGTCTTAATTTGAATGCGGTAGTATGAAATACATCCGGTTCTTCCATTTATCCTTTTATTGTGTGCCTGGTAGCTGACCATGATGGTGTGGCTATCTAAGAGAGACGGGCTAACAGTCATTTACCTATTTAGGTCCCCTCTTGCTGCGCATTACATATGTACCCAATTAAAAATGAAGACAAATCAATTTTTGCATGAATAAATAATGATGATCGTCAGTAGATATTTGCCTGTAGTGTTCCTTTTATTACTTCGAGTTCTTACCTAATTTTTTTTCTGTAATATATCATTGTATCGTTGGAAAATAGCACTAAACAACTAAATTAATTAATGAATGCAAATTATGCACTACATTAAGAAGGTTCAGTTTACGTCAAAGACAACCAGCACAAAACTATTGCAGATACCAATTCAACCAAGTGGCAGAAGATGTAACTTCATAGTTTTTTAACCGAATATGGGTACTGAATAATTTTATTGCTTCGTGAATCAAAAATATTAATTCCTATTTTGCAAATAATTAGCTAAGTAAGTTAAATCGGTTTATTTTAAACCGATCAAAATACATCTAAATTAATTTTCGTTTATCTATTGTTCAGCAATTTCTCCACTGCTTCTGGAAGCTGTGAAAGAATTTAAAAATGCATTTCAATGTTTTTAAAAGATGAAAAATGTGTCTGCGAAAATCAATTGTAGCGCCTAATGATTGTGCAATTAGGTGCCGCTTTATTAATGATCTATATGAGCTGCCTTAATCGTTGTTAAGTAAAACTGACGCACTTTCCAAATATTGCATTAGGAGTTACATATTAGATTGTATTTTGTAAAAAAAAAATACAAATGTCCTAGGTGTCAGTTCTTGGGGATGTCGCATTGTACACTTCGATGAATACTTTTAAGTGGTCGATAAAAGTGCTGAGTTTGACTAAATTTAAATAAGAGCTGGCGTGTGCCAAAAATTTTGACATTTTGACGGAAATTAAAATAACTTAGTTATACTCCGAATTATGAATTGTCAAAATATCAATTGTTTAAAACTACAAATAGTAAATTGAATTGAATCAGAATTGCATTTTTTTGAATAATTCCTTAGTCGTGTCTTTAGAATATTAGACTACTTTCTTTAAAGAAGAAATTATCCGCTGGACTTAAAGGCGTTGGTATACAAAGAATCTTTTCAATTTTTTTTTAAATTTAATTCGAATGTATATAAGTAAAATATTTTCCATAGCTTTTTATGCCTAAAATAACATTTATTAGGAAATATTTTCCCAAAACTTGGCTAAAAGCTTTGTAAAAATATAATGCTCCATCGTCAAGGTTTTCAAAATTCATGCCTGTTTTTATGCAGAATTTTTTGAATATTTTATATTGATTTTACGTAAAATACGTTCGAGAAGAACGCAGTATTGAACTATTTAATTGGAAATATACTGGATACCTCTCTCTATCTTGAATTGAATGAACAATTGAATAAAATTGATTTTTTGCAACATTATATAAAGGAAGCTTTAACAATTATGACTCTCGAATACAGGTGCATTAATGAATTCGCGTATACCTAAGTTAACCACTTGTCAGTGATCAAATGATAATACGTCTTTTTTGACAAAAGTGTTTGATATTAATCAGTAACTTTAGAACAATACCTCCTTACCGCATTTTATTATTTATTTTTGCAAGAGGAAGATAAAATTGGGATATTAAAATGTATTTAACTGGCATTAAATCAATCATCATCGAAAACTACTTGAACATTTATCTTGGCTGCTTTAAGATATTTACTGTGCTTAGGATCAATCAGGAGATCGAATACCACTGACAATCATTGTTTTTCAAGAAAATTTACTTTTGATGGGGTGACTAACTCTTTGATAACATTACTGCTCAAAGTCAAATTTGACTGTGTACTGTGTTACATGGACTAACATGTACAACATTTACATTAATTCCACTGTGTAAAAAGGCCAATGTGCTTTGTTCCTATTCATAATGGAATTGCGAATACATAATAGCAAATAGAAAATCCGTATGGCCATGTGTAAAAGCAGCAGCGATTTAGTGCGCACAAAGACCACTTAGTGATAGTTTCAAAAAAGGTTGAAAATACATCATAACGCAGTTTTTCGAATGTGCGGAAGGTTTTCACTTTTGTTATTATGATATCGCTAAAAGTAATTATAATTGGATTTTAATTTTGCTGACTTGAAATTGTTACAGATAAGCAATCAAACTGACAAATAAAGAATTGTACTTCTTTTTAGTCTTTTTGACGCCATTATATCAAGTTGCGTTCATTTGAAAAAATGAAGCAGTGTAAAGAAATTGCCTTTCCTTTTAAGGAGTGGCTAATGGATCATTTTTGCACAAAAAACTTTTTTTAAATATCCCATTGACTAGGAAAGGGAAAGATTCAAAGATCAAAATCAACACTACGCTGCGACATAAACCGTTCAAGGCTACATCGACTCAAATCTGCACTTAGTAAACGGGATCATTGTTGACATATTTAATGACAACAGCTCCGTTATTAATCAGGATGTTCATCTAAAAACCGCAAATAAGAGATCTATATACCTCGACAACGCATTAGTGCATTCAATTTGTTTATTTTCATTAGTGTCAAACTCGGACGCTGCTCGTCCTGTAAGCTAATTTTTAGCAACCCTCAGAAGGAATCAAATATGAAAAACGGAATGAAACAAGGATAACATGAAAATTATACGGGCATGTCTTAAAAGTTAAAACAGTTCAACTGCAGTTACGGTGATGTGTTTGTTTGCCATACAATAGACACATTTAGATAAACAAATCACCTCGCAATAACCGCACGTCAAGAAAATGGCTATCCAACGGTTGAGTTGGAACCCAAGTTTAGGATCAGCACATTTGGTAAAAGTACTAAAATGTAAGAATAAAGAGCCGGGAATTTTTTTAGGTTCGACATAAATTAGGCATCTTGGAAGTCAGATGAATATTTTAACCATCCAACTGGTCATTTTGTCGTTAAATGATTTAGTCACATAATTATTTTGGAGTAAGCAAATGTAATTGAAAATAAAGAATACTTGGTGAATCTAGAACCATTTTGATAACATTAGTTGTAAAGACTTTTGCTATATTCCACTAAGTTATTAAAGCTAACAGTACAATATTTGTTCGCTTAAGTGACTTGCTTAGCGGTAATGGTGTTTTTAATGTCGAGCTTGTTCTCTACAGATCAGCCAACTTGACCAAAGAACACAAATAAGCATGACAAATTTTAAAGAGCTTTACAATGCTAAAACGCGCGCATATTTGCATTGCTCATCAGACATCAAATTTTACTTGCTTTTGCCATAATTTAGAAAAACATTAATCATTCTGTAATTTTGACCATGCACCTACTTTTCGGGTTCATTTGCAATCAAACGATTGTTTAATTTGGATATTTTTAGTGAATAAATGCACCTAGTTAAAATAAACATATAAACTGGGTCAAAAGCAATAAGTTTTTAGATGTTTAGTTATGTTGTTTCATCTCGTGATTAAATAAACAGTGATCGACCTTGTCGCAAGACCCGAAGTTGTGTGTCCAAAGGTTGTTGTCCTAGCCGTTTTTTGTTCTTCATAATAAGCCGCTGACCACTGTAATCGTAAATTAAGGTCTGCTGCCTGGGTTAATGTGAGGCATATCACCTTTGATCACCTTTTCTATTTTTTGTTTTCTTTACAACTTTCAGTGTTAGGTTTTTAGGGAATAATTGGATTGTCTATTTGATCACCCTTTTGCTTCGCATCTCTCTCAACCAATTTTATCTTTCTGGTCATTTATGAGTGTCGCATAAGTTATTTATTACAATATATTTATTATGCGCAATGCAAATTCAACCTAGCCCATGCGCTTACTTCCGCAATCGTTTCACTCCTAAAATGCAGATTCTTCGTATTTACTTTGTGGCTGAGATCCCATCCAATATCTCTTAAGTTCAGTTGTTGTTATCTCTGAATCTCTGCTGCAGCAGCCTCATTTACTGCCCTAGCGACAGCTTTCTGCGCTCAGTGCCCATTTTCCGATTCGCTTGGAATTTACCATATCACTGAAATTGTTTATATCTCTTCCGTTCTTCGTATGTTTTGCGTACTTTAGTAGCTAGTGTATTTGTAAGGCTGCTGCCTTTGCGCTAGAAATGAATTAGAGGTGCACTTTGCTTTCTTCATATTCTGCTCCTGTTTCGCTTTGGACACTCTCGCGACCACTGTACTTGTCTCACACATGTTTATTGTGCCAACATTTTTTTTGCTTTCTGCAATGAATTAAGCCTAGTTTAAACCACGAATTCTATAAATTTCTCGTCTACTTCGTGACATCCCGTTGCATCGTGGTACTGTCAAACCTGTGATGTTATAGATTCTCTTAGTAAAGGGAAACAAACAAAATGTGTTTGGATCGTTCTCTGTTTACACGACATGAAGCTTCTCATAAGTAAAACTGTTAGGTATTGTATGCAATAGCTTGCCATGCGCCCAATTGGACATTTCGAGCGTTGTTTTTTTTTGGTTGGAACTAATTTAATGAATGCACTGAAACTGTTTTGGTTAGCGCCACCACCAAAAGCACTTTGTACCACAACGTTGCGTTTATGTTCCTGTATTATAATAATTGATGCCCATAACTTCTGGGCCTTTGTGCCACGCCGCATGGTTTATTTTTGATGAGCTTTAGGATCGTGATTATCGTCTTAAGATTTTCATGGAGCTTTGATTTTTTTAAATTCATACGTCATAAATTGGAAACAATAGTCGCTAGGTTACCTACGGTTTATCTCAGTAACTTTACCAAATGTTAGGTATATGTTTTCTGACAGCAACGTCATTTGGTCTGACCCTCAATCACGACCAACTACTATCAGTGCTATTACTGTTAACATCCGTAAACGAATGATCTTAAATGTAGATTTGCCATGATCTCACTTAGCTTGCCTTTGACTTCCAATTACATTGGATTTCTTAAAGGTTAAAACTTGTTTGCTGTAGTTATAGTTTAGACGCTAGTCCTTGTTTAAAAATATGTTGGAGTTTAATCAACAGGTTTCAGGTTTATTCAAACAGCAATATTTGTTTTAGAAGCCATGGGTGATACAGAAAGAGTTGTTCTTGTGACGGGGGGTTCAGGTTTAGTGGGACAGGGAATAAGGTTGGCCTTGGAGAAGTACGGTCTGAGGGAGCCCAATGAACGTTGGATTTTCGCATCGTCGAAGGACTTGAATCTTTGCAGCGGTGCGGAGACATCTGCCTACTTTGAGCGAGTCAAGCCTACGCATGTCATTCATCTGGCAGCCAAAGTCGGTGGACTTTTTGCCAACATGAGCGACAACCTGGGCTTCTTCGTAAGTCGCCTTCCTATTTGTTAAGTACTTTTTAGATTGCAACAAACGTTGATGATACGTGCCATTGTTGATGGAATAATTCTTTGCCTTTAGACGCTGATGCCTTCTGTAAAGGTTTAATTATTCTGTTACTAAGAGACAGCTATCGGTACATTTGATCATAATCCATTCCCTGATTGTCATTTCCCTTTACCAACAAGTGCCAATAGCTCAATTTTCTGTCTGCGTTACGTTACAGCTGCGATAAAAGCAGGTGCGCTGGTTTTCTTGAACGGTCCAGTTTGGTCAGGTGCGTAACCTCCAAAATGAGCGCGAAGTAAAAAGGCCACTATGCGTCAGCCTCCCGTAAACTAGACGTTGACACGTAACGTTAAGCCACTTGGTATGATAAATCTGGTGTACGACCTTTTTATTTGTTTTTTTTTTATTTAATTTATTTCATAATTTCTCTATTGAATGCTGCTGCTTGTTTTTTTTTAAGCGTACCAACATGATGATAAATGATAACCTGTTGGAGTCTTGTGCGAAGTTCGGCGTTAAAAAGACTGTTTCCTGCCTATCGACCTGCGTATTTCCCGACAAGACAACTTATCCCATTGATGAAACCATGCTGCACAATGGGCCACCACACTCTTCAAATTACGGATACGCCTATGCTAAACGCATGGTCGATGTGTTGAATCAGTAAGTTGTCCTACTAATCGCAGTATTTCGCCATTCCCCTCGCTCCCCTGCCTGTCTCACAAGCTTTTCAACTCTACTCCTGTTCTTGGCCTTTTGGATTTCTTTCTGCTCTGACCTCTCTCCGAGTATCAGATGTCCCAATGAAGCTACTGTCACCATCCTTCCACTATTTCACTTCGGTTTATGCGACGCTGCCAAAAAGAGGTGCCCGCCGTTTTCAGGTGATTAGCTATAAGGAAGAACCAGTTTTTTGATACGATAAAAATATGGTGAGACCGAATTCCTGTATAAATAGAGTACCATTAATTGGACCGATTGATCTACCTCTTTGTTGTTGTCATAGGTGCTCATAAAGTTAAGATGATTTGACGTTTTCTTCGTCCTAAGGGTTACAATATCACGGAACGGTAACCCAAATATATGCATGTTTGTGTGTGTGGTCCTGCAGTGTTGAATACTCGTATGAACCAGTAGCACACAACTGAAGTCCGTGATCTAGATCAGAGACTACGGCTGAGGTGATCAACCAGCAGTTTTGCGCCTTTAGGTTAATTTGCAGTGGTTTGAGAAGAAACCTATGGGCCAGTTAAAGTGGTCTACCATCTACTATGAGGTAAAATAAGCCTAGCCAGTGTGAAATACTGAACCGCTTACTGACACGACGTAGCTACTTATTAAGCGTTAGTAGGTAATTCTCCCACAACCTCCGGCAGATCGTTAAGCCCCCTCCTTGCCCCTTCCCCTTCTCGAATCCTCCTAATCTTCCCTCCCTTCCCTGTTTTACTTTTTTCCTATTTTCTGTTTCCATAGCTGGTTATATCACCTACGAGCTTGTCTTGGTCACGTTAGATGCATTTTAGAAACACTGACGCCTGTTGTTGCGTCAACAGCGATGCGATATAAAAAAGCATGTGTGTCCTGGATTGGTTGGCAGTTTTTTGCAGCAAAACACAGTACAACTTGTCGACTTAAATTCTATTTGTGAAATTTCACCTCTTTTATCTGAGACACCCTTTTGGCAACGCAGGCACTGACTGGCGAGGAACACACCCGTGACTCCATCGTAGACCCGCATTAGGTAGTGCAGAATTGCTGTGGCGCGATACAGCCCGGGGTACCCAAAGGAGAAATGAGACGGGAGGAGAGTGTGAGAGACGCAACCGTGGCTTAGATATCTCAACCAAGTTGCCGTCGTGTGCGCACATGTGTTCCAAGTCGTGCATGACTATGCTGTTGGCGACCTAACATAGGCTTGGTGAACTATTAAAAGTACAAATGACTGAACGCCCAGCCGTGTGAAACGCGTGGCGGAGGGCCTGAATGCGCACGGGCGCATGTGCAAACGTTTTGACAGGGTTGACGGGCAGAATAGTGGGACGACGGAGTTGGTAGGCGTGAATCAACCCAATTCACTACACAATCGTGTTGTTCTCAGTGTCTAGGTGTCGTCCTTCGTGGTTTGCATTGTAAAACACTTAAATCTTTGGTTAGATAGCATGACATGTTACATAAAAAGACTTTCACTAGAATTATGGGGGTAATTTCTCATCAGGTTTACACCAAGAGTAAAAACTGCTGGATTTGACAGCCGGCACTGGTTATCTGTCACCTAATTTTAAAAAAATTCGGGATGAGTTATAGCTATAACCTTTAAAGGCCAATTACCACATTGATTAACTGGTTTGACGATTTTTTGTGTATCACATCGCTGTCAAAATAAACGTGCATCCAAGGCTATGTGGTTGACTCTTAATTATTATTAGTAACTACTACTAGCCTATGTTTACTGTTGTAGTGTAAGTGAACATAACAGTTACGTCTGGCTTGCTGCATTTTCTCTGAGTCCAGACAATAAGGCGACTCTTTTCTGTGTTGCGTCCAGCCACGTCAGCTCAAGTGTGTCGCCGGTCCATTCATCCCACTCCTTAGGCCCTCGTCGTGTTGACGCCACCGAAATTCATTTGCAGGCCATTTTCCTCACTCAGTTCCTGCTTTTCTTAATTAAACCGAATCAGCATTGATATTTGCATGACTGTTCCTCTCCGATGCCAGATTTTCAAATTCAAATGTTCTATTTGGTCGGTGTTTTGTGCACCCTATTGCCGTTCGGATTCTTTGCTAACACACATTCTATTTTTCAATTTTCTTGCTCTTTTTAGTGCCTACACGGATAAGTACGGGACAGTTTTCACGGCCGTCATCCCCACAAACGTGTTTGGGCCTTACGACAACTTTAATTTAGAAAGTGCTCATGTCATTCCCGCTCTCATGCACAAGGCCTACTTGGCTAGCAGTAAGTTGACGTGTTTTTTGCAGTAAATGGAAAGGGTCAATGACGCCTGACTTTTTATTGAGAATCGCTATGTTGAAGTTGCTTTGAGTTTTACTATAGAAAGGGACATTAATAATCTATGTTCTCGATGGATTTATTCATGGTTGTTAAAAACTATATCCACTTCCATAGGGGAAGCCTAAAAACTAACTACTTTGCCGCCCTTTAAGCCAAATTTTTATCAGCCACCAAAGCGGTGCAACTGTTAATAATTCGTCATTATTGGCCGACAACTTCGACGTGGTTGGCCTCAGGTACCACGAAAAATGGTTGTGTTATTGGTGTCAATGGAGGTTTCACAACATTGGGTTCACACCCTTTTCAAAAAACAGGTCAGCGATTGTACATTGGGAATCGTGTAGATTTCGCTATAGTTTTTACCGTCACTCTATTACTCTTCTCATTTGTTAAAGCTAAAAACCTTAATCGCATTCATCGAAACTTCGCATTCAACATAGTCCGTTACCGTCTACTTCTGTGCGAACAGGACACATTTTTATCACTACTTTGATTTCGCTAGGTACCTTACAGTGCCTGTGGTTTGACATTTAGTCCCGTTGCCTCGAGTCCACCATATCTCGTCATCCGAAACATTACATTTTACTGTTAATTCTCCTTCCAAGTACACTAGCTTGTTAACATAACGTAGACGCATCCCTGCCAGCGCCCATCAATTTCATCAATCTGTTGACGTTGTTTTAGTTTATGAGTTGGGTGAATTTCCACATTTTGTTTACCAACTGCAAGCCCCACGGATGCTTAATGTAAATATTTCTGTTTAGAGGCTGGCGAGCCACTGCTGGTGCTTGGCTCGGGCACTCCCCTCCGGCAGTTCATCTACTCCGTCGACCTTGGTCGCCTCATTGTCTGGGTTCTGCGAAACTACAGTAAACCAGACCCAATTATTCTCTCCGTGCCAGAGACTGACGAAGTCTCCATTAAAGATGCTGCCAGCGCCATTGTCGCTGCTATGGGCTGCAAGGGACTAAAGGTATGTGCATAAACCCAGAGAGTCATTTCGAGCATCCGAAATCACCGCATCTCAAAAACTTTCAGTACATGCAAATATTGTCCCCCCCCCCACACTCGGGCAAAATTGACACCTCGGGCTTATTTCATGGTGGTCTGGAGCTTTAACCTAAAGTCACACAAGACGTTTTATTTACCTAACTTAATCAGCTCCTCGCACCTACCAATCCAACCTTCAAGTTAAAAAAGAAAAAAACACGAAGTGATTTTAAAGCATTGCTAATTCCGTGATGCAAATAAATAGCACTAGTAATGTCTGGAACAGTCAGCTTTTGAACGCGCGGGTTTTATGTGTGTTTTTGGCATATATCGAAGCTTGCGCTTTTAAGGTTGTCTAGGCGTAGTGTATGGTTATTTACTGCCTAACTACTTTGATTTATGAATCGGAGCAATATCTTGAAGTGTCCAAACACGCGAACGGGGTTCCAAATAATCCGTGCAAACAAAGTTTCAATAAAGCGAAGAACAGTCTTTGTTAATGCTACCTTCCTCATCGAAAGTGCAGTTTATTCGCCCCATACGAAGACACCGTTTTTATGGTGGTTTTTCCTGTGCTACACAAGTTGGCCCAGCCCTATTGCCAGCAAGTAACATTCTTCTCAGACTCCTGTTGGACCGATGAATAGCAGCTACTAAAGCATATAATAACACGTTTCCTTAATGTTTATTTGTGACGTAAATTCATGGAGCTAACGTTCTGTGTAAGAAATACTACGGCGAACAATTTTACTGAGTGCTGGGTCAAAAACTGAGCTTCGAATATATAGGCACTTGTTGATCGTCGTAACAGATATTAGCTCTGAATGTTTTCATACAAAGAATACGGCAGTGGTGGTTGCATTGTGCTTAACAATGACAACGCGGCTTTATGATGGAATTTCGCATTTCTCAAGCTTCTTGGTTGCCAACGTGGCAGTGGATACCGCGCCTGTGATTCGTGAATCTGTTGATTACTAATCTTCGTCTCCTAGGTATTATGCAGGACCTAACTTGCGGGCACCACGCCCTAAACAAAGGATGTCGGCCGTCACGCGGGGCATTGGGTGTGTTGTGCCAGAGACATGCGCTGCGCAGGGCGACCGGCGCCTTTGCACCCATGCACGCTGCATTTAATAGGCTAATTTGCTTTTTGTTCCACAGCTTTAAACCGAGTCATCGAATCTTCCCTTCCTCCATTGACATTTGTCGTGGTGGAAACACGACACTTTTCTCTGCCGATAAGGCGTTCCAATTAACACCCTTAGTAGAGTTCTCGTCTGGGCCAGCTTCACACTAGTTTTATGCTACTGTAGGTGATAATGCAATGCAACGGACCGAGATTAAAGCCTACCACAATTCCTGTCTACTTAGTTTAAGGGGTGAGCTGCTGTCTGAAAAGGCGGTAGGTGTTATCTCCATTGTTCGGGTCGCGGGAGCTAATCCATGGTAATACGGAGTTTTCTGTGTATGAACGTATTTTCCTAAAAGTGCCTGGCCGCTTTTACAATACATTAAATTAAAATTGTGCATCCTTTTAATGAGGAAATTTGTATCACACTGGGTATTCGTCGATTACCAGACCTCATTACCTGTCTTCCCGGTTTAAACTTCAAACCGGTAACTTTCACGTGCCTGCACAGGGGGTTAGAGTATTTGTTATTTTCTTAAAGTAATACCAACTGGCTCAAATCGGCACAAAAGTGAGGTTTTACCGCTCTTTATATTTCCTGCAGAAATTCTGTGAAGCGTCTGGCTAAACCTTGTATTTTCTTATTCTGATCAATACTGTTAATAGAGATTTTTCAGGCCGTAGTCGTATGAAAATCGTATTTTGTCGATTTCAGCGGCACTTTTTAGTGGTTTGTCAAATTAACCCAAATTGTTCATTTCCTCATCAAGCTGGATCCCTCAAAAGCGGACGGTCAATTTAAGAAAACCGCGTCTTCCGCAAAACTATTGTCCCTCTACCCCGATTTCAAATTCACTCCTTTTCAAGAAGGTTCGTTACCCCAATGTCTACAATTTCTTTAATGCTGGACTAACTGCTCATGCCGTAATTAATCATTTGTGCTATGCACATTTTGGTTACTTCCCATGTTATTCACCAATTCACAGAGTAGTTGCGTGTGTTCGAACACGCCCATGTATGTTTGGTACCTGTTTGTAGCTCAAATTAGAGTCTTCAGTGTGTAAATAAACTTTACTTTTTATTTCAGCAATTGCGGACACTTGCGAATGGTTCAAAACAAATTTCAATACCTGCAGAAAGTGAAATTGCTTTGCTTCCCATTGTACTTTTCTGATAATGCATACTCGATTATGCTTAAGCCCAACATTCACTACTCTTAATTTTTTTTAAATATATTCTAAAAATTCTGCCGAAATTAATATGTCCTTTTAAATAATTTATGACTCTTCCCCATCTACATGCTGGTATGAGGTCCCATTACCGGCTCACTTATTCTTTTTTACGAAATTAGACTCGGTACAAGCCTTGAAGGTTGCAAATTTGTATTGTAGTTATCATTGAACTGATTCCTACCCTGATCCCTATTCAAATACAAATCCTTGCTAATCTGAACCAATTTCCTCTTGTTGAATTTTAAAGGTTTACCCTTTGGTACTATTAAACGCAGAGTTAGTCGCCCACCTGTCCTAATTCGGAAAGTTGGAGTGATTTTGTTAGGTCCTAAAGGGACACTGGAAAAAGAGATGGAATTTCGCCCATGGGGCGAATTCGCCTCATGCAGGGCACCAGGGCCATAATTTCTTATTTACACCTTGTTAACGGATGTATTCACCTGGTCTTTGCACACGGAGCAAAGCAGTTTCGCTTTTAACCATTTTGTATGTACCTAATGTTAATAATCTTTTGTAAATAAATAGTTGCTGTAGTAACCGCTTCAAAATAGCTTGTTGTCGGCTGCAGTACACTTGCGATAAGATACCCAACCAAGTGAAATGTTTAAAGCACCTTGTGAAGTCCGTCATTGGTAGGTTTGGCCAATGTTCTGAGCCGAAATCAGTTAATCAGCCGTTATTCTGCTGGAGGCTGAAAGGTGGTAGTGGTAATGCGAAATGAACTTTTTCCCCACCTAATCCCATCCTCTGAATGCCTCTCCTCCTCCGAATACGGGTCACTTCTGTTTCAGTGACCACTTAAAAGGAATGCATCAGCATCACAGCGATTCGCGTTATGAGCTTTTTCTTGCTCAGATAGGTCAGGCAAAACATTGTATTCTCGAATAGAGAAAGTAGTGCATTTAGCAAAAACCCATACTTCGAAATTACATGCACACTTCAGTCCTGATAAGTGTAATCAACACACAATTGCCGTCTGCATCAACCAAATCCGATGTTATCAACAGCTGACAAGACTCCACCATTTGTGTAGAGTTGTTCTCGGTGATGAAAACTATTTCAAGGTGAAATAATGCGCTGTTCGAGGAAAACTGGGACTGTCAATACATCTCTTATCTTTGTAGTTCCGGACCAACGTTGCTTCCGTTTCTTGATAATGAGTGCAACCATAAAACTTTCGAAGTTGAGATGCAGATGGTCTTTCACGGTGAAACCTGATGACTTCCTCTAAGAATCCAGAATACTCGGGTCTTATTTCCACGTGAATTGTGTTCTCTAGTGACTTGGGAACAGAATAACAAGTGCCACGAAAGTTCCTTTGCATGAGACCAAGTTCAAACTATGTGGTGAATACTTGTGGTCCCGATTCAATTCGTTGACTTCACTTTCATGTGGTTAAAAATATGTACGCTGTAAAATATCAGGATGATATACTGAAAATCGTCTCCAATTTGCTTGACGAAGTTTCAAGGAGTGTATTTAGAAACATTCAAACCCAATTTGAACCAAAATTTGATTCCATTATTAGCCAAAACATTTTAGCATGCCTTCGTTTTTGTAATCTTTAATTTCAAAATTTGGGGCAAACCCAAGCACGCGCGATATAGTCACTTGAGATAGCTCTGATTTCAGGATCCGAATATACGCAGAAGGCAATGCATTCTTGTGAGGTCTGAATTTTCTCCAAAATTGTTCGAATCAATAACTCGATTATAAAAACTGGTCAAATATGGTTCTGCACAGCTTTATATTACCCTACTTTTCTCTGTGCTATGTATTACCAAAGTTAGCCATGCTACACCCTGGTTGGCCGTTAACATTTTATCACAATGAACACCTAAACAGTCAATTTATATTTCGGATACGCTGCTTGCTCACCAGAGCGTACTTTCTCCAGTCACAAGTGTCTGCTGGCAGATATGTCCATTAGTCCAGCTATTATACTTGACTCTTCCAACTCAGTGGTGCCTTTGTGGGCTTTTGAACCAACTTTGAGATGACGTCCATAGGCTGGCCACATTTGGACAGGTCGTACGTGGTTTGGTATTGAGAATTGTCAAATTTTCAGTGCATGTTTTTTCTTCACAAATTGTACAAGTGGTTAGAAGCCATGCTGATTTGAAGCTGGAGCCAAATTATGACGTAAAAATTACAGTTTCTGCTATAAGTTAATTTTAGGCAATTGTAATGGATGGTTAATGATAAATACTTTTCCTTTCCCATGGTAGGCAATCTAAGTCTTTGGTCGCTGACATTTCGTACAAACACTGAAACGCACACAGTATTATTTAATGGCTCAAATAGTGTAAGTGCAGGAAAAACGGGTTAGTAGCATCACTAATCCATGATCCCCGTTGCATCAAGTCAATAAATAAAGTAACGTTAATTTTAAGGTCCCATCGATTGATTTGAGTTTAATTCAACTAAAGGCGATTCACTTTAAGGAAACATGCCTGACAAGGTCGACTACGTGAGCTTTTCTAATTCCTCAAGGCTTAATTGCCCATCTTTGTTTACGTCGAGGCGGTCGAAAAATTCTTTGAGTGCGATCGTCGACAGTTTTTGTCGACTTTTCTTCTCCATAGAGATTTTAAACTCCTCGAAGCTCACCATCCCCGAATTATCCAAATCCATGGCTTTGAAGGTTTCCAATGCAACTTCCTTGGCTGAAGGTCTGCAATTTAAAAAACAACAGTTTTGGAGAACTTAGTGAGCACCATAAACAAAGAAGAATATTTTGTACTAGTCTAGGTTGTTTGAACACATTTGCTCCATTTCACTCTCGATTCATTACCAGCAGAGCACCGAAACTTTCTTCATAATTTACTTCACTTTGAGGACTTGTCTCGTTACAAACATTCCATAAAGAAGTCAGACTTTTAGCAAAGCTACTTCCACATGCGTGTTGCCAAATCACGTGCCTGCTCGAATTGACTAGCTTGCCTCAGTGAGTCAACTGTTGATGAGCCTGAGGCAGCACAATTCACTGAAATCGCAAAATCACGCACATCTGCTGATTGCTATTAATGAATTTGCCATAAAAATGCTTTGAGTTATTTATGTTCGGTAAAGGATGATTGCGCGAAACGTTGCAAAAGAGATTTCTTGCACCTGTTACACAAATCTACAATAACTGTAAGCTATTTGACTTCAAGTAAGATTATCTGATGGAAAATCCTACCCAGGAACGGACGTGAACTCACTGTTCTAAATCATGCAGCATAGTGGTACCTCTGTTCTTGACTCGAATCTTAAAGTCAGTAAGGCGTGGGTTTTAAATCCAAATAGATTCGTAATGGAAACCACACTAATTTTTTTGTTTCAGAAGTTTTTTGTCTTGGAAACAGATGACGTGTCAAGTGGCATGCACATGAATGGAGCATTGGCTGTGCACTCTGACGTGTCAGCTCATGTGAGGCGATTTGTGTCTCGTATGCCACATCTCTGGATTAGTCATTCATTCTTTTTTCTCCGAACTCGCTCCAGTGCGCTTCACCCCACATGACTAATCGCACCTTTGGAGTTGACTCAAGAAGGTTACATTTACCTAATTTAAATATTCACGCGGCACTTGGTAGCGTAAAATATATAGGTATTAGCAATGCATCGAAACCATCGGATACTGTATTCTATACACTGTCCATCCACATGAGTTTTTATGGTTTCGTTCAGTATTTACCAAGTTAGGCAATTTAAGCTATAAAACTTCAAACGAAAGTAAAACGATAAGGTGCATATTAAGAAGACGTAGGACAGATAAACTCACGGCTTAACTGGATCTTTTGGTTTTGAAGATTTGGCAGAGATGTTCATTTCTGAATTTTCTCAAATTTGGCCAGGCTGTTCAAAGAAGACTTGTTTATTTGAGCAGAAAAAATGGAGGAGTATAAATGCCGGGAAAAGTTGGTTTTAGGTAACTCAACTATACCACCTTGTTTTTAGTCACAAAGGGGGCTAAATTCTATGTAAGGGCATATTATTTCACAGTCATTCGGTTTATTTCAGCTTCTGAAACATTGCTAAAGCAATATTTACAGCCTTTTGAGTTAATCTCCTAGACATACATGGTAGTCTGCTTGAGGATAATGTATCTAAACCGTACCAATCGCAGTTTCCAGCCACTCATGTTTACTTGGGCCGTTTTCATCGACAAAATCGCTAATTATCTGGTTTAAAAGTCAACACGCAGTTGCAGAGCTGAACATTGAACATTTCGCTTCTGAATTTTTGCTCGATAACAGACGTTGCATAATTACTAGAGGATATTAATGTCTTATTTACTTTCCTAAATTAAATAGCCTTACGTCTAAACCCCAGTCTTTTTGATGACCCTTAAATTGATTTAATCCCCAGGTGATCACTACGACTTATTTGACCCAAGGACGGAGTTAAATTTTTGATGGATTGGAAATGAAAGAGATTGCAGTTGCATGGGTACCGACCCACGCTTAAAACCGAAATGTCAGCTGTTTAATTACTTGTATTCCTCACTGTTGACACCTGCCGACTAATGTGTAGGCTTAGTCAAGTATCGTTAAATGATTTTGTACTAATTAACTGATAAACTAAGTGGCTTTTGGGAAACAGAATTATTTCACTGGTGACATATTGCTCTAATTATATTAGTTAACCAACTAACACCTCTAGTAATAAAAGTGCATCAAACTGGGACGAACTTATACTGACAGTGAAACGATGCTGCGCCAGTAAGACAGACCCAACTAGTCTAAGATATCAAAATATCTGAATTATCAGAATTTTTATTTCTTCATCTAAATAATGCCCTTGTAATGTCATACCTACTGGTATTTAACTTCATGATTTCAAAAGTGAAAACCATTACTTTATCTAAGCCAAAATAATTTCGCCATTATTTTAAGCGCCCAAGTATAATCCGCACGAAATTTGATTGGGTGTGCTTTTAGTTTGTACTGTAAAATTGGATCTAATCAAACAGAAAAATTGTACTCATGCAAGCTTAAGGGATCGTTATGTAAATCCACACTTACTAGGAGTTGAAGAATCAGGCAAGTTTAATTTGATGACTGCTTGGTGAATTCAAGCATTCCTGATTAAGTGAACTATACGGGCTTTCTGTTTGCCAATCAGTGAGCAGCAAATCACAAGTGCTTTCCACACACTGTGAATAGGTGACTGTTCTTGTGGGGCGAATTAACGGTGCAGGTGTGTTTACTGAACCTCATTTATTGACATTCTTAACAGTTTGTCAGTCACTGAAGCACTTTCTGTCAAAGCAACACCGGGACGTTAAATTTCCAACTTTATGAACAGGTGGAATTTGAAATAAAGCTAGGAAGCTGGTTCGAATATTATTTACTCACATTGACTGTCGCAGCACACCGCGAACCGAAAAAGAGTAAAAGAAGATTTGAGAGATGTAAACATCGGTCTGTTTTATTTGACCACAGATGTTGAAATATTCCAGATTTGAACATTTTAATGGTGCGGCGTGTTATTAGTTACTTACGCCCTCATCAGTCATTACATACGATAATTTACAGTCATTAAGTTGAGCATGCATTCCCGACGCTTCCGTAAAGATTTTGGCAATTTTAGCTAGTTAGTGAGTCTGTATATTTCAATAAAAGCGTTTTCATTCCTGGCAAATGACTTAGGCTTTGAATATTTGAAAAATCGAATTCTTAGCATCTTCATTTTGGCATCTCCGTAGCAATTAACGTAGACAAAACTACACCGAAGCACTTATTAAGCAATCTTCAGGCCTTAATACCAAGTTTCAGACAGTTCGTCCAAATCGTTTAAAGCATTGTCAACAACGAAATGAATGTCATTTAATGGATATTTTGCATGAATAATATTTAATTGATTAGCCACCCTGTATGTTCTTACATTCAGTGTATTAACGTCTAAGACTTGGCCCTGGTTTCGAAGAAAAGATCTAAGTCGATGCACTGCATATGTCGTAGCTTAGTAGTGAAATCCAGAAATTAGGAAAATTAGTTTGAATCTTTCGCTTCCCAGTCAACCACATATTTCGACAAGTTCGTTTTGCGTAAAGATGATCCTTTGTGTACATTGCAGTGGGCAAGTTCCTTCAGTGCATGGCGTGAGGAAACCTTTAAAACTAACTCAAATATTCTACTACTGAATAAGCCCTGCGATCATCAGATTTTGCATTAGTTACTAAAATGTCTTGTGCATCACAGTGTTCCAATCTGTACATAAGTCACGGATTCAATTTTCTGTCCAGGTAGTCCAGTTACAATTCAATTTTCCTCCTTTGCCACTTTTGTCGTCGCTTTGCGTTAGCCACCGCTCTGGTAGTGATGACAATAATAAACTATTTTCACATATTTTTCATCGAAAGTAAAAATTTACAAATAAATAAATAATGTGTTTTACGTCGCACCTGGAAGCTTTCTGCAATTTTTTCCCCATTAATTCGGCACATATCACTTTGTTCATAGTTTTGTAAATCCGACACAATTAATATCACATTTCGATTAACCTGGGCGTCGTATGTCGAACTTACCACAACTGACATCTGGCTACATATAATGAAAATTATAAAAACAATGGCACAAATATTAGGTCATCATTAATCGTCATTAAATTATTCCTTATGAGCACAGATTATTTTCTCTAAATTATTCAAAGTAACAATTATCTTCTAGCCTTGTCAACACATGTATTACCTTGCAGGCCATGGTTATGTAATTAGATGGTCCAGTTCATGATCGTAGGATGTCATAAAATTAAGGCACTATAGTTTATATCAATAATAATTTGGTGATTGGTGTAACAAAACCCATTATTAGTAGTAGTATTCCAAAGATAAAAAAAATTAATTATAATGAACGAGCTAAAGCAATCACTACACCAAGCCTAGCTATCAGTATTTCACTTTGAGCACTACAAAACCACGTATATGTACCATCAAATTTGCACAGGGTCTACATGAGTGCACAAAGTTTATGATTTTAGACATACATTACCACTTTTGTCGAACCGAATAATTGAAAACAATAGACAGTTCTTATTTAATTGAAAAGTTCAACAAGTCAAATAGGCATAATGCGTTGGCTCTGTACTTTTTTGCACTGATTATTAATTCCCCAGAAGGCCAAATCGCAATGCAAATTTAACAAATTCTAATTTTTAATTGAAGATTAAAATTAAAATTAGGGGGTCTAAAAAAGCAGGTTTATTTATATATTTATCATCTAAGCTAACGCTATTTAATAGCCTAAAACAAGTACAAACATTTATAACCATAATAGAAGTTAACAGTGTAGCAGGATTTCACCGAAGTGATAATAAAACTAGCTGCTTCACAATCAAAAGAAGTGTTTTTTTTTTACTTATTGGCTCTAATCAATTATCACACACTTCGGCTATGTGAAAATTAGAAAAATCCATTTATTAAAACATGAACAGTCTGCAAGAAATTTTTTGAAATGGTAAGAAAGCTTATATTTCGAGCGCTTAAATTTAATATTGCATCCTGTTGCTTTTGTGTACCTCAAAATTACTCTCAATTTTTCTTCTTTTGCATCCAACACCAAACGAAGGCTAATGTAAAAGTGGACTTCATTTACACCACCCATCGTTAAGTTTAATCCCAAATGCGGCATCAAAACAGAAGTGGCAACGCTACAGCAAATTTTTTTAACTGATTTTTTTCAAAAGTAATTTATTTAGGTTTTAACAAATGAATCTCTTAGTATTTTACCATTAAAATTATTTGTTTAACAGTTTACTGTTTCCACCGGCCATCTCAAATTGCCTTGAAATTTATCTATTGTGTTGTTATGTTGCATCTATTTATTAGTTGTTTTATGTGCAGATGTGGCATATTTTGTTGAAGTTTTGACTAACTTTATTTACGTAGGCTTATTTAATGTACAGAAACAACCTTAAGTTTTTTACTAAAACCAAAAACTTAGGTTTTGAACACATGCAAAATCTAGTTTCGCATACTAAAATCGATGGAAAAATTGAAATGATCGTTGGTGGCACTTTAAAACCCAGTTAATTTTTTTTGAATTTTTGGTATGTAATCTATTATTGTCGTCTGCTTACCCAGTCTGCTGTGACGTTATTATTCATCTTTCTCGTGATGACCAGCGAGTCCACCCGTACAAATGTTTCCATGTCTCATTTCGCGTGCTTTAAACAGATTTTCATTGGGTTAGAAGGTTTACTTTTGTCTAAGTTAATGGTTAGCTTTCAGAGTTTCCCTTTTCCCATAGTGCCCTCTAATACTGTAGGACATTCTTCCTTCCGATGAACGCAGTGGTCGTACTGTGTCACTTTTGTGAGCAGCATGGGCCGGCTGTCATTATGTGTACCCAACCCTTGCGTCAGATGGCCTTCCCATTAGTGTCTTCGCGAAAAAATTCTGTTTGTAAGCCGCACTCGTTTTCTGGCTGCGGAACTTTTCACGTCACTTCGACCTCGGCTTCTCACGAAGGAAATGTGTGGCCTGTTGAACAATTGTCACACAACCTCTACTGTAAGTGGTGTTCATGCTCTTGAAATCTACGCATCCATAATAGATCTTAAAATATTTAGTATAAGATGTTCTCGCTAGTATTGTTTCATGTGTTGATCTAATTACAACATGCCAACAAGTGCGCGAAACATGGACACATCATGTATTAAATGTATAAGCTGCCGTAAACACAACTATCTGTGGAAGAAAAATATACATTAAAATACTGAAAGCACATATAATGGGGCACGTAGCATGTGAATAATACTGTCAAGAGCTCACCCTCAGTCCATCTGATCATTTTACGTGAATCGAAATTCATGCTTAGAAGCTATATCGCTTTCTCAAATGACACTCGCCTTTAATCAATTCTACCAATATCAATAAATCCCAAATGTCTAACACCAAAAAATTCACTTCCAACTTAAAAAAAAACAAAAATGGGGGAAAAGCAAGAGATTTTATAAGATTGTTCAGGGAAAATAGGATTCGAAAGCTGCCAAGTTTCTGCTTTATGTAGTCTTGTTACCCTAGCTACTTTAATGTTTTATGGATTAATCTTTAACAATTGTGTTTAAGGTCAGGTAAATATAAGCTTCTAGTAATCAGACGTGTCTACACTTCTTGTAGGGAATAAAGTTTTTGACGACCCAAGAAGTTATTAAGGTTAGGAATTGGTCATTTTTTCTTAAGACAATTATAGTAAATGGTATTGCATCTCACTTTCAGAAGACGATAAGTGATTTGAATTAGATAAGCTACTCATTAAAATCTTGAAAGCTTCGCTTTTGCTTGCTTTAAGCAATCTGCTTGTACCTGAATCCAGACGTCGGCAATATTTCAATAGTATGGACAAAATAAAGACTTATTCGCAGCTCACTCATTTCGCTTTATGAATTGGGGCCTTGTAGTATGCACGCCCGTGAACAAGTTAGATCACTTGCCGCTTCTAAGTTTATTGTTATAATCGGAATTGTGACCTGTGATAAACTCATCATTCTTTCAACTGTGTCCAGCTTTGTTCCATTTCCACGTAAATCATTCTCAGCATGGTATTCTTTTGCCCGTAAGCATTGAAGTACCCTCATCGCGATAGCCAAAAATCGAATAAATGATGTGCTATTGTGAATGGTGTTTATATTTGTGTGGTATTAAGGTGTCAAAACCGACGGTGAATTTCATTAGTTTACACTAATCCTGCATAAAATGATATTTTAATTAGCAGACTTGGCAGATAGAATGCAAGTAATTTAACTTGTTTCTGTAGCGTAAAAGTGCTTCAAAAGTCTTTTTTATGAAGTTGAGAGAATTCGTTTGTATAGATATGGCATAATTAAATAGGATTCATCTAAACTGGAACGATTTTATTTGAAAAAAGAGAGGGGTTCATTGTGGAGAGTTAGAATACTAGATCTTTTGTTAGTAGAATGTTTTCTGAGTTTGATTCGCTTTTGATTACTCGCCATCCTTTGCCCCAATCATTCTATTTTTAAAGCGTATGCTTATGATCCTAATTTAATTCTCTTCATAAAGTACTCGAATTAATGATAAAATGATTTCTTCGTTAAAATTGCTGTCTTCTCGAGTATCCTTTGCCTTTACATGTATTTGAATGCTAAAAGCTTAGAAAAGGTGATAAATTTTTGAATTCATCGCAGACCACGCGTTCGTGGATAGCGTCTCTACCGAGCTGGAACCTAACCGGATAAGTTACTGTTTGCCCGTCTCTCTGAGAGAGTCACGCCACCAAGGTTCACTACCAGGCACGCGCTGTAAAACTTGTAGAAGGAACCTGACGTATTCCAGACAACCACATTCGAAGGCAGTGAGGCTAAAGCGTAGAGGAATAGGCGGAGGATTGGACGTAGTTAGGACCAGGGTTGTCCTCGTACCACGTTGATCGACTGGTGCGCGTTACACATGATTTCTGAGTAAATTTGAAACATTCAAATTTATAAGACTGAAATTCTGTGAGGTATTTTTTGGGATCTTCTTGGGGATTGAAATTGTTTTCCGCATTTTAAACGTACGTTTTCGTACATTCTTTTCGGCCTCAGCTCTACACGCATTTTTAAGTAAATTTAACGTCAATATTTTTTGGTCTTTTATTTGTGCTCTCGAGAACCGTGGCCAAGTTTGAGAGATTTGAAGTGATTTTCATAGTAATATTGATAATTGACGTCATATAAGGGCATGTTGTATTGTGGTTGTTCGTCTGCTCGTCATTCATTGGCCCCTCGATCAATCCTGGACACAATAGGATTGGATGCGCTAAAACAAATCTAAACATCCCCTTTCGATATGTTTGCTAAATGTCGGACTCCGATTTAATCGTTGTTGTTGTTGTTTAAAATATCTATGGGACAACGCTGTTCATGTGCTGGATGGAGCGAAAAACATAATGTTAGTGGCCTTTTGTAGGTTGGATAATGCAGATATTGAGGCATTTGAGCTTTGCAATTTGATGTCAGTATTCACACAGTATTGCTACTTATTCAGCTAATTTATGCCAAATGGCCGTATTTCTAGGACTTACGTGTTATTATTCCTATTATTCTTATTATCCAAATAGTACCTCTGGCGTGTTATTCAATCTACAATTGAACTAATTCCCTAAAAATTAAATGCATACATAGTTGCCCATGCTAATAAAACACTTCATCAGCTTTACGACTGAATTGGCCAGAGTACAATAAAAGGTTCAATCGTCAAAAGTTAGGAGAGTGTGTTGTCAAGTCGCATTGCGACGTCGAGTGCCTATTCCCTATTCCTATTCGGCGGCAAAGTGCTTATTCAAGTGGTGTTTACCTTTATTGTTTTAAAAACTCACATCTGGATTTCGCGGTAGTCTTGCTGCACGTAATCCGTACGCATGTTTATCATCCAAATATAATCATTAAAATGTAGGTTGCGTCCGGCATCATTCACAAATTACTAATAATAGTATTTATTCAAAGAAATCTTGTTTGGAATTCTTTGGCTGTCCTTTTTTACACTCTTCTCGTCTTGCTGTTGCCTTAATTTTGTACTTATGCTATTGATGTCGTGGAATGTATTGTGTTAGCGGGCTGTTCCACTCCACCTTTGGTTGTCTTACTTTATCCTTCATCGACCTTTGTTGTGCCCTAGGTCAGCAACTGTATCACAAACTCCTTTCCAGACGGATAAGTCAGTAGCCTTTTATCTCCTTGTTTTTGTCACACTGGCTGTTATTTGCTTGTTACTTTTGCTAATTGTGCTCTTTGAAACGCAATGTGGAGGTCGATGTATGTGGCAATTTTTGTAGATTTGGCCACAACCTCGCTTAATTTATCTTGTATGGTCGATTTGTTATACCTGTTTCTGTTAATCTCTTAGATCTTACTCATTCAATGATTAGTCCCTGATTAACAGTTTTTAGTAAATGTTGCCTTTATGCCCTCAGTCGTCTCAGTTTCCCTGTTCGGGTTTTGCCTGTGACATATTACCCATTTCCTTGCGCGTCTGCGTGTAGTCGAAAAGCACACACAGCTATAATGATGGTTGCAACCACTGCAATTCAACTCCTTTTTGACTCAACTGTGCATCCTTACAGAAAATCAGTTTTTTTTTCGATTCCACAACTGGTCACAGCGCAGCTATTAGCAAATCCTTATCTGGCTTTCGTGTGTAGAATATTGTAGTAGTTGCTCCCCTGGTGTTTAGTTATCGGCGCTGCTATATCTTTCCGTGTATTTGTACTCGCGTCACACTTGGTGCTTATGCTCATGCGTCCTTCATTTCGTCACATTTAGCCGATCTCATAACATCAACAGTTCCACCTCAGTCGACTGGTGCCGTTCAGGATTCTACGCCTTGGATGCAGATGAATGGCGCCTGTCGCGCCTGTTCCATCATAACACGAAATGAAATGGGCTTTGTGAGCCATGATTTCTCTGCCAAAACTGACTACGTCTCCACTCAGTTTCCCGGCGACAAGGATCTTTTCCAGGCCGTTCGCACCGCCTGTATGCGCAGTTTGTCGTGTGAAGTGCGCTCAGAAGCATTTCTGCTTTAGTTATTTAAGTAACGTTTTTAATACCATTTCTTTTTGACTAGACTGTTCCGGAACGCGAAGGGCCCGTATATTTTGGCGATGACTTAAATCTGCACGTGATTAGTTACAACTTCTTTATTAAGGACTCTATGGCTCGCGGCTTCCAGGTGAAGTACAGTTTTCTCCTTGCCTCATGGAATCAGGTTCTTTTAATGAACCTATGGCCATTTGCGGTAAGGAAGCCGATATTTGTGAAATTTGCTGTTTTTGTTCCATTTGCGTGTTCCATTTAATGTACTATTAAATAATATTTTCCCTATGTAAGAAATGGCCGCCATTTTTGGATATACTCACACTCTCCGGCAAAGTCACCTCCGAAATCTGTTTCGCATGATTAGTGTGGGTTTTGTGAGCCGGATGTGATTGCTTGTCTTCATTTGCTTATCAGTTAGAGTCTGCCTCCAATGTGGCAGCGGGGATATGGTGGTGTTTTTCTGCGCACTAGCCCTAACCAATAATGCTACTGACAAAATATTTAGTATTCTTTGTACAGACCCAAATAATATGTAAGATTGTTCTCAATGTTGGAGAAAGCCTGAATTTGCAGGAAACCGTTTAACCATTCAGGAGAGAATCTGGACTGTTTCATCCACTTCAATCATTTTAGGCATCCTTTTTTATATCATCTAAACGAATGTTTTGTCCTACTTTTTAAAATTGAGATGTCTACAGGAAACCCTTTCTCTCACACCTATAATGTCAAATACGAGATCGTGCAGACAAATGTGTACATGTGCTTGTGTGCATACTAGGTGAAAAGTTTTCGGACAATGGCAGCTCGTCTGCAAGAAGCGGCGAACCGTGTATATGAAGAGGAGACATCCTCGGGAGCCTCGTCAACTGCAGGTGGTGTCGGTGCGCGCTCGGCTACCCCCCCGGCGGGTAACAATCCGCTCCGTCTCTGCCGCACTCCTCCTCCACCCTCCTCCCTGTTGCACCACCACCACACCTCTACTACGCCCCCAAGTCGTGGTGCTCCACCCCTTTTAAGTAGCCAAGCCGTTGCTGCGGGCTCTGCTGTGTCTCTTGCCAACCAGTCCAGCACCTCTGGTGCCGCTCGGAAACTCAGAAGCGCTCGTGCCACCGAGTTCGATGTTCGGTCACTTGCTGACCTCACAAGGGACGATCAGGTTCGGTTTCTGTTTCCGTACTTAGCATTTGAAGATTCAGTTGCAGGCGATTGCGTATTAGACACCTCTTTGTTCTTATTCCTCTTATGCCACATTCTGTCCGAGTGAGCAAATGCATGTCCATTTGCTTTTGCCGATTTCTTTTCAATTAAGCGAGTACATTTTTGGATTACTAGTTAATGTTGTCTTAATTGCGGCAAAATGTTCCTTTTATACATCACCATGCCGTCATTATTTTTATACTCAAAAGAGATAATGAAGAACAGCTGATGTTTGACATTTGAAGTTATCTACAATCGACACCCGTTCACAATTTCGTGAAACACATGTCTGTTCGGCTGAGATTAGCTGGGAACCATGGCTAGTTGGTAACACGAAGGTGTGCTTCTGGGTGGTACGTTTCAAGTCATTTCGCGTCCGATGTAAACCCCCCCCCATGAGGTCTATTATGTCATTGCTAGTTTAGATTACTAATGTTGTTATCAATAGGTCACGTAATATCCACCCAAGCAGTATCCAGGCTCCCCATAGTGTTACAGTTGCTTTTTGCTTAACCCCGCCTAAGGTTTATTACCGGATCCACGCATGGTTCACCTGGCTACTCCGAGTTGCCGGTCGAAACTGGACGCCTGTCAGTCTGAAGAGTGGATCGGTGGATGAGGACGAGGTCTTTGCGGAGGAGGAGAAGAACGGACTGCTGTTGGGTTCCGGTGGAGGGTCTGGGGACACAACGGTTGGCTCGCCCTCTCGTCTCCCCTCAAACACACCCCACCTGGCTGACCCGACCAACCTCATCCTCGGCTCCGAACTCGGATGGACCGATGGCACGTCGGAGATGGAAATGGCTGTGTGAGTTGTCCTGCCTATGCACCTGTACGGAAATTCATCAAACCGAAGATTTTGTTTGTGAAGCCTACGTTTCCCAACATCCAGATTAGTTCTTCACTTTTCTGCACGCGATTCATTAAGATTCTGAACGGGTCTCGACGACGCAAACAAAAACTTGGCCTCTTTCTGATAGTATTGTTTTTTCGTCGGACCGTGGTCTTATCCCAGCAGTTTTCTTACATCACTCGTTTGACCTGAAAATCAACCCAGTTGTTTTTGCTTACACCTTGCTATTGCATTTGCGTAAAATTTCCAAGGTTACTTTCTACGTTCAGATTTCTTGGAAGGGAAGGTCACTGACCTTACATTACTAGAACCACTTCTGCCCTCCTCAGGTCATGTTTTGATCGTGCAGATACTTAGCGTCAAAACCCATTTAGTACTCACGTTCAGCTGTCACGGAAATGGCTGCACCTGTAAGGTTCTCGCTTGGCTTTTCCTAGAAACTTGCGTGTTTCTGTTTTTCTTAAATAGCTCCGACATTATTGCACATGACTTACTAAATAGGACAGTTTAAGGTATTATGACAAGCTGTTGGGCCCTTTACTTCAATAGTCTGTTAGAACGTGTTGTTCTAGGCTGTAATAAACCCTTTTATTTGTGAATTTAAGGAAGCATGTCAAGGCAGTATTTGGCACCATTCTCGCCGGGGAACTTGTTTAACACTTCTGGTTTAACGATAAGTACTACGTTAGCGCCATGTCAGCGCAACATTATTGATATCATTCCGCTTCCTTTTTAAGTGTATAAGGAATCTTGAATGGCACTTTTTTGCTACGTCCATTTTCATGTTGCCTTTTCGATTTTTCCCTCCTGCTATTCAAAAACTGTAAAAGTCTGTGCTGTTTTGCTTTTCATTCTTTGACGGAATTAACCTATGAGCAATTGCTTTGTGTATTCGGACCTCCCGATCGGGCTGGGTGTACCGTCTATTTCGTTTACGGTAGAATTTCTTTTCACACCCACGTAAAGTTACGTGCTGCGTTTGAGACGCTTTCAGAGTGCGATTTCCCCGCGTTTTGTAGGCGTATCTGCCTTCTTTTGAAGAGGCCTTTCTCGAATCCACGTGTTAAATTCGCTACCCACAAAGAAGGGGGCCGGGGTCAAATTTAACCGATTGCATTGGCAATCGATGATAATGTGAGGGTTCTTTGTAGTCTGGGTTGGGCGTTTATGAAAGTCCTTTCACCATCATATCCGTAACCTTATTGCCGAGGTCAACGTCGGCCAGTAGGGTCACCGACGTGAGCTGACACCCTTTTTCTGTTTTTCACCGATTAACTACACACGTGTCTGTCAGTTTACTAACCACTGTTAGACACGTATCTGGTGTTTGTTTCACCAAACACTCTCTAAGCGGGTCTTCAGAATGCGCGTGCCGGAAGTTATGTGTGGTTGGCACCCGGCAGAGCTGCACTTTCAACAGTTTCGCTCTCGCTGTGTACTCGTGTCCATCAAAATGGTTGTGCTGGTAATGCTTTCCTTCTTTTCGCATGATGGTGTTTTTTTTAATTTTTACAGACAGGAGTATTTGTTTATAGTGACGTATCATCTTCCTCTTAATTTAATTGCTGTTTTGTTTTTCTTTAATTCGTCGTACCTGCCCTAGGCATGCACATTTCCTCTCACTTAACGGGAGGTATAATATCCTCCACGATCATCGTCAGATCAGCTGTTCTACTTCGAAATATAGTAGACATTAGCGCTCCATGCTCCACTTCGTGATGGTCATGTGTGTATGTTAAAGTAAGATACCTGTTTTTGCGCACATGCAACTCCGATGTTGTGGTATACATTGGCCACCCACCTTTGCATTTCTGAATCTACAACTGAAACATCTATTTTGGGGTCCAGTGATTGCTTTAGCTTCAACCTTAACTTGTTTTGCTGATTGTTATGTTTTGTTGTTGATTTAAATAATGTGCTTTTTTCAAATTTTATACGTTTTTTCCTTTCAATTGCAAGATTAAGTGGTTTATGGTCTCTTATATTTTTGTGTAGGTTGTATAAATTTGTAAAAAGTGGTAATTTTTCAGTATTTAACAAAAAACCCAAGCACATGCTCCTAAAAGTCTTGAAAAATTGCGTCCCCATTTTGGCCTCTGTCGTCTATAACTCACCATGGATAGTATGTGCGTAAACTAGCCTTAAAGAGTATCACATGTATTCGGTCAGTAGTTTTTCACGCACTATCGTGTCCGAAAGTGATTGTTTCTGACACTTTTGGCAATGTTGAAGGCAAATGAGACTGCTGTCTCACCTCTACAAGTGCATCGGAGAGGACCACTTTCACCGGCTAGTATACTACCTGGCCACTGGAAATCAAATTATTGTCCATCCACTGGAGAAACCCAAAGTGGCCTCTTTCACCGCGGCTGCTCTCGCTCGCCTTCTTCCTCGTGGATGCGTTCGACTTGTGAGTTAGTAGTATGTTTTGACCCTAGTGGTTTATTCCCCTGCGGTACTTGTTGCATTGCTTATCGGTTATGCAACCAATGTATTCTTTGACAATCAGATGCCTCTGTTTCCATCGCACTCCAGATCTATTTCAATACGCATATTATGGTGACATCTCGAAGTTACTGGGTTATTACAGCATCTTAACTCGTCTTAGCCGTATTGGAGCACTCGCATTTTGGATATTGCATGACTGCTCGGTGCTTTTACCGCCTCATGTTCAGTTTGAGTATTTTCGTACTTAGCGTCATTACTGTCTATTATCATTCACTCCGTTTTACAATCACCCTTTTTTGCTGTCCCCACTGACGCCAAAATTATGCATTCTGAAATTCATTGTATTTTTTTGCAACATTTTTCATGCTTGAAACTTTTGTTCTCTCGTAGCTTCATTCCTTTTTTTTCAAGGAACGTTTTCATTTCTCAAAACACTCTACTTGTTGTTCAGAACCTTTTCCCGAAACTATCCAAATTTGATGACACTATCCCGGATTTGCAACAAATTGGATTTGCCACAGATTTTATTTAACCACTCCCTTGAATGCTGTTTTTTATTTGCCCTTCGCGATTTGTTTTTCATATGACCTACTCCTTAAAATTGGTTTATATAGGTGGGAAAGCTCAGCACCCGATATTTTTACTTTGCCCTTTAGCTGGTTATTTTTACCAAGAAGCTTATATCGCAGCCACCCGAGCCATTTTGTAAATGAGGACCTGCATAGAACCTGTGGGGTTCCGTTCCACATGTTTTAGTCGTGCAACCACCCGTCGAATGCCCGTAGCGTTCCGTGACCATTTAATACTGCTTATTTTCTTGTTCTGTTTTTATAAGTACCTATTATTGGTCGTTTTTGCATCAATACTACTCAAAATGCCTTATCAATTTGACATCCAACAATTACATATGCGTTTGATGTCCAACGACTTTAGCCATTTCTATCTTGCCGTTTAAAATTATTGATTGTAGTGAGCAACCTTACCGGTTCATGATCAAATAGAAGTGAAGTCAATTTGGCTTGTATTCCAGCCTTTGCTTATTTTTGTCCCCCCACGACATCCTTAACTTCGACAGTGACATTCGTTAGACCACCTCCTACAAAGGCCGGCTGTATTGAAAGCCACCCGTCTGTCGCCAGTTGAATCTTGAAAGTATATTAGCACTTAAAAGCTGTCTGCGATATTAGCAACATTTGTGTTGGAATCTCGTAAAATTGAAGGTCTCATATTACAAATTCGTGACACCTAACCGAAAATATAACTTTCCATCTCAGCAGGTGCTGATTTTACGTGGACTGATTTTCCACCTTCAAAAAGTAAATTTCATGTGCCCAGGACATCACATTGTCAAAGTATTGAAAAAAAAGCCTCTACTCTTTAGCTATAACCCCCATAAAATCTAGACATTGAAGCCAGTCCTTCGTCTAGGCACTAAGGCCTTGTTATTTGATCCGGAGGTATGTGGTGTTATTTGCATTTAATTGCTTTTCACCGTGTTAATCTCATTGTTTAAGTCGGTTCAGCCGTGCCTGCAATATCTCTAAGTTAGCTTTTGGTTCCCATTTTTCGTAAATTCTCATTCTACTTAATTTTTCAATCCCTTTAGGTAATTGAGAGCTCGACATATGTGCCACCATCCGACTGTAATATCCTGTCTCTGTCTTCGGGTACCCTTTTATCTAAACTGGGACCTCCCGAAACCTCATACGTAATCGTCCAGGTGAGCCTCATGTCTCCGAACTCGACCAAAGAAGACATGGTTGTTGCAGGCCGAAATACGCCCTCACCCGTCAGAATATCAACTGATTCGGACACCAAGTTTGATCAGGTAAGATCCGCTCGACCGGACGGTCGATATAGGACGCTTTACATATCACGCAGCGCCATCCCGCAACATTGGCGAGTTATTTTCCTGTGAGCTTCGGTTCTACTGACCCGATGTTGAGTGCTTCCGCAGTAACTGAGCCTCGTTATCCAGTACAGTGTCTAAATACCTTGTAACCATCATTCCTATATTAATTATAGCTCAACTTTGCAGTAAGCTTTGGTCAGGCCCTTCAAGCACCGTCAGATAGCTGGGAGGCATCTTGGTCACGTAGTAGCAGTCTGTCTGGGAGCATTCCATCTTCCCCCTGGGGTCTCTCTCCCTCTTCCTCCGTGACGTCGACTACTCACACTTCTCCTACCCCACCCCAATGTAAACAACCTATCAATTCGACCTTTGCTGATCAAATAACGAATATTTTCCGGATGGTTGACCCACTGCAAACCTCTGTTGTTATTCTCCAGCCCTCTACAATGAGTCTTGCCGTGGCTGTTATTCGACAACGTTGGACAAGCTATGCTCGCACTCTTTACGCCTTCCAGAAGTGTTGTGTAAGTCGGTCGCATGTCCGTCTTGACCTCGTAGTAACACAATTTTTCTTTAACGTACGTAACACACCACTTTTACTAATAACAATCGCGGTACCACGGAACTTGTCTAACACTCAGACCAGGTATTATGCCACGAAGCTACTTTACGTGGATTACCCATGGTGTAATCCGATGCCAACTCAAGGTTGCCTGGCAAATTCGTGTCCAAAACCTATAAAATAAATCGTTCAGTAAGGATCAAATTCTCGTGCACGTTGATGGCGATTTTCTTGACTGTCTTTTATCCTTCTAGAAGGTCTCTTCCAATTTTGAGGAAGCAACACAAAAGTGCTTCCAATTCCTCTCTTCCGTCTATGGCACAACAGCGGACGATGAGGCGGTAGTGCAATTTTGGCAGAGGGCCTTGAGTAGACAAACCCGACTAGACATCTGCCATCCAGTTTCTCCCGCAACTTAGATAATTGTGATGCTGTTGACCAAACCGCTACATCAAACTTGAAGCATACCTCCCGCGAAATCGTGATCCTGCCATTTATTTAGCAATTTTGAAAGGGTATTTATGTTTATAGAAACAAACAAGCCTTCAAAGTACACATCTACAGCTGTTTTGCAGCATTACATCTCCGGCTGTGTACCTCGGGACTTTCACGAGATCCAGACAATGGGGAAATTTCGCACCTTGTGCAAATTGGCCGCTTGTACGAGTGTGCCCCACTGTTAACCTTGGGTGTCTTGCTGGTGGACTGTAGAGATAATTTGCAACCTCATGAAAGTACCCTGCAGACCTCAACCTTATTGTTAATGGTGGCCGTGGTAATAAGTGAGAAAAATAAATTATCGTCTGAGGTCACTGAACAGCACCGCCGCAACCGCCTTCGCCATTATCTTACTAGCATTCAATGGTGATACCGTTACACTGGTTCACAACTCGGTTAGCAGTAAGCCGGATTCCTTTACACGGAAGTGGATTACCACAAACTTGGTCTACAGAGATAAAAATTAGTGACGACCCAAATCCGTTCAAAAGTTGAAGCTTACCGCATCAAAAGTCACAGTTTAAGGTACTTTTTGAATTTAAGATTTGCCGCTCACTTCACTGGATAAGGCATGTACAATGGCCTATCAAGCACAATGTTTAGATTTCGACGGTAGTGCAACAAGGTATATGCGAAGGCAGTGCTATAAACTAGAATAAACGAGTTACTTTGAAAGAGTAAAAAAATATGTTGGGAATGCGATTTGAACCGTTATATATGTCCACAAATATAGGCAGCAATACAGTCCCAACAAACTTCAGACAAACAACGCGCAATAATAACACACTGTAACTGAAGCAAGTAAGCGGATGAGTAGGATGGATTAGCAAGAAAAGATAAGTGAGAAAAGTAACGCAGAGATGAGGAGGGCACGGAGACTCAGCTGCCACTCTTGAGACACATCGGCCGCACAAGGATCCCAAGCCAAAAGAGTTGAAAGTGCAATTCTTGTAAAGAAAATAGGCTGTACATGTAAAAAGCCAAGCTTTGGTCCAAAATTTGCAAAACATCTGAAGGTGATTTTAGAAGACAAGAGGGTTTGGGGGTAGATAAGAAGCACATTAGTACAGATATATAACAGCTCCCCCATTTACACCAGGCCACAGAAATGCAAAAAATGACTGCCAAGGGAATGCGTAAAATGAAAAGTGAATCACAGGTTTGAAAGCAGCCTGACTACGGTGGACCAAAACACTTTAAAGGGAAGACTGGGAAGGAAAGCGTGAACTTGAGTGTTCGAGAAGTTTGGATGGGCAGGACTTCTGCATCGGAAGGTGTAGAAAGACTAAGGTGGCTCCGTATACTATCAGAAGTGCGACGCTGACCGAAAACGGTCACCATTATAATCAGATCAGTTCGACGCCAGTAGACGGAAATTAGCTCACGCGAGCTGTTGGAGTATGAACAAAGCCCCAAAAAATTCATTAATTATTACAATGGGGCAGCCCAAGTAGAAAGGGTTGTAAAAAATTGGAAGAGCTCAGGTAGACAGACTTCAAAATAGACTTTGGATGGAACGCCGAAAACAGTGAGTTTTAGGAGTGGTGCTGAGGAAAATTCGGTAGAAATAAGACTTGAAAATGGTAAATGCTGTGATTGACGGCGGCAGGAGGCCGGGCCAGCGGTAAAAAATACGAAAAGGCACAGCTGGAGTACGATGTAGTTCCCGGCACAAATAAAACGTAAACCGGGTCTCCCATTCATTCTCCAGGGGGACGACATAGGGATGTGTGCGCGAATTGTAAAAGCTACAGAAAGCTCCGTGGACATGAAATGAGGCAAGGCAAGATGATGCCATTCGTTTGGCGTAGGCGAAAAGAGGGAATGTATGTCGTGGATATGGTTATGCACAGACGCCGGAATCGAGTACCAGGCCTGGCTGTGGGTTGAGCGAATTCAATAGAGAAAGTGGGTCGGCAGATGATTCAAACGGGAAGTCAATCAGGCAGTTCCCAGGCATTCACATGCAGACAAACGAATACCGACTTCATACACGGGCGAACAGTGGCATGCCGATGGGATGGCGTGGACTTAATGACCCAGGAATAAATCAAAAATCAAATCGCATGTTCTCGTTTCTGGGTCCAAACGTGAAGGCATCTTCCGTCCCATCTCCGGCTTGAGGATTGTTTCCGTCGGTTTCTCCAAGGTCGTCGAAGTTATCGTCAGTAGGTATGGTGTCATCAAGGCCCTAGAATAAGAACTACCTAATAATGCCAATTTAAGGGATCAAGTTGACTAGTAATGTGATGACTTACGGATCCGTAATACATTTCTAAGATGTTATACGCCGATTTGAAGATAGACGAATTTGCGTTTTGTTGAAGGTTTTCGATGAGCGTCAAGCCACCACAGGCTTCAATGGCATTAACAACCTCCTCAAGCTGGTCGCCCGCTAATTTAAGAATGTTTGCTATTCCATCAAGAACAACTTGAATCACTTGAGTGTCCCGCACATCTAGCAACTTGCACAGAGGAGGTATCACATTTTGCGATATAAGGTACCGAATCTTAAATTAAAAACAAACATTAAGCAAACAAAATCCTATTAGTTCGCAACCGGGTTAAATCCACATACCTGCTGAACGTTTCCGTTAATCGTCAGGTTTGAAATTGCCCAAGCAGCCTCCTTCTGGGTGAGAAATTCACTATTGGCAAGATGACCGATGATTAGAGGCACAAGATTATGATCGATAACAGCTTGCCCTTGACTCTGATCACCAGCAGTAATATTTGAGAGAAACCAAACAGCCTCCTTGTTTATCTTCTCCTTCGGATGATTGAGGAGTTGATGAAAATGGCTAAGAGCGCCGCAATCCAGCACAACCTGAGTCTGCTGGTCAGTACCTGTTACTATATTGCCAACTGCACGTAAAGCCGCAATCTGTACTTTGAAGTTTGGATGTGACAACAGCGGCACTAGATGAGGGACAATCTCAGCATCAATTACCATGCTGATCAGATAGTTTCCTCCATCAGTAAGGTAGGATATGGCCCACACTGTGTCAACCAAAATTTGCTACAATAGAAACGAGGCACATATTTTAATTAGGATAAAATAGGCCAAACACTCGCTAGGGAAGCAGGACTCAACTTACACTATCTGTTGTATTTGTGATCAAATACAGAAGAGCGGGGAGTAGTTCTTGAATTGTAGCGACAGGAGGGGGTGGGTCTCTGTTCCGACACAAGTTCACCATCACCCATGTAATATTACGAAGAAAAGTAATTGAGATATTTGGTGTGAGGAGACTTAACAAGGGCTTGATTAAACCTTGTTCAATAACATGATCGCGAAGCTGTGGACCATCGCCGATAATGTTACCCAGAGCCCAGACGGCCTGCTCCGAAACGTTGGCATGCGGTGATGACAATAGTTTTATAAAGTATGGCACTGCTCCGGCCTGAACAACCGCAGCGGTTTGCTTCGAATTTCCAGAAGCAATGTTCGTCAAAGCCCAAGCAGCTTCGAATTGCAAGGTGGGACTAAAATATTATGGGTGACGTAATCAGACGCCAAACAACAAGGAGACACCCGAAAAGAGCAAGTGTAAAAAGCGCAATGTATAAACATGAACTAATGCATAATCTAACACAAATTGTGACAGTTAATATACACATATTTATATGTATGGTAGCAACAGAATGAGATTTCATACTTTTCAGACTCCAAGCAACTGACGAGCATCGGCAGTACATTATAACTGATCAGTTCGTCAATAGGCGGATGTCTCCCACTGGACAATAGTTTTCTTGCAGATTGTACCACGAGTAGTCGGACAGCGGGATCCTCGACGTTTGCATATTGAACGATCGATGACAAATCCAAAAGGTTGGTCTTTTCAACAGTGTCAACTTCCGCTTCGGCAGAAATATCCGAAGGCATGTTTCGTTTCTTTTGAAGGCATTCATCACGTTTGGTTTTTCGCAATTCAACTTGGCCTTCCTGTCGACGTCGGCGCATTTCCTACACAACAGGCATAAAAATTACTTGTAAACGTACGTCGGTACTCTTCCCCGCATTTTTAAAGGCCAGCTGTCGCGCACTAGCAAGACCATCCGACATCGTCGTTATATGCGATTCCGCAAATGAAACCCGTTGCCAATTTAAACAACGATTGCCGAATTTACACCAATGTACACCAATCTTAGATTTTTTATTAAAGCAGTTAACATAATAGTTTTCTCAAAATGTGCTAGTTAGAGTTGTGTTAGAAGGTAACCATATTTTTAGGTTTCAGTGGTAATTTTGGCTTCAATTAATTTTAATTATAATTGTTTGTTTGAAACTAGAAATTTCGGATTTTGCCAAATTGAAGTATGAATAAGCTTAGGTCACAGAATTCAATCAAATAAATGTAGCATTTATACCAGCCACTAAAAAATAATCTAGATGTAGTAAAATATGTTCATTTAAACACTTCCAATAATTGCATACCAACAAAATAGAGAAAATAAACAAGTCACCAAATATTTTAAGGCCTAACAGCTCGAAAAATTGCAGAATAAATTTTTTTTTTACAAAGTACTGGGTGATATCCATTTACACTTCGCATTTAAGCTCTGAGTTCATCTAATACATTTGCCCGTCGTTATTTCTGATTAGTAGTGACATGACCTCAAAAATTTTACAATGTCCAACTGTATTTCAGACCATCAAATATTTGGAATATGTTTTTTTGTGGTGGACTAAATCTACATTAGAGGGTTCTAAACTAAACTAATAATAGTAATAACTTCCATGTACAGCGATGACATTTATGTCATGATAATTCAGTATTGTGGTATGTAAACTTCACAATATATATCTCAAATATTTTATGATAAGACAATGTTTAAAGTAAACAGTAAAGGTAATGCAGATAAAGTATACAATAAGTGTGTTAAAATGAAATCAGAGAATAACATCGTATATGCTACACTTCCCCGGCCATTTGGACGATTCGCAAGTTGAAAATGGGAGAAAGAATCATAATTTAAAAAAAGCAGAGTATTGAAGGAGTCCAAAATTGTACAGGAAAGTGTATTACGAACCCGAGGATCCTCTTTCTTTATTTTTTTCCTTTTACGCCTCCACTTCTTGATCTTGAACCAAAGAATCATATGAATATTGATAATTTTTTCTTGGTTGTGTAAATGGAGGGCAGGGACATGACGAATGTGTCAGAACTTGTCTCAATGCCTTCTTGATATGTTTTGAGCCCATGATTTTCCACGAACAGCCTTCAAGGATTTCCTAATGATTGTTGGTGCTAAACTAGTGCCTGAGCTGCAGCTTTCAATGTGTTTTGTCCCATGAAGTCGTTGTTTTTAGAGTTTCTTGGAGTTAAGGCACCTTGGAATGTCTACGCAACTCTTATTCGGTCCTTTTAATCCTGAATATTAAGAAATATCGTTCACTAAACTGCTATCCATTTGATCCTTACCTACTACTGCCGGTTTCTGATTATCTTTAAGTACCAGTAGAGTTGTGCCGAAGTTGGTTGATTGTGTCGTTTTAATCGTCCTGGAGGTAGAATCGCTATGACTAGACCGCTTATTTACCTTTTCCTCTGATCGATGACACTTGCATTGATGTCGCCATCATGGGTACACGAGGTAATTCTGCTTTTTAGGTGATGTTTTGTTGTCTAAAGTTTCCCAGATTATAAATTTGCTCCACTTTTTAAAAATTCTTGGCAAGCCGACAATGTCTGGGATGTCAACAGGTTTTAGTAGAGGACCGTCAGACAATTCATAGTACGCTCAATGTTAGCTGTCGTTACTTTGCTGAACAGTTTTTTTCTGAGGCATCCACTAACCTAGATATGACAGAGGCTTTGGATACTAAATGACTTTATTTTGGTCTGTAAAAAAAGTTTTTTTATGAAGACAAATGGTACAATTTACCAGCTGATGTTAATCATAATTAAGACTAACGTAAGCAACCGATGAATCGTGTAGGAATATTTGGTGGCTCATGAATATCGTATTCAGTAGCCGCCACCGCGCGATTAATTTATTACTTTCAAATAAACTCTTTAACAAAAGTCCTTCGAAAATTTGGGTAGCGTCATAGTAATTTCCGTAACATAGAACATGGGTGGTAAATTTCGAACTGGTGGGTGATAGTTAATCCTGGAGTTGGCATCTGTTTAAGAGGTGGGAGAAACAAATATAATGTCAGATTTCCGGTAAATCTCAAGGCACTAACGTTTAGACAGCATTTGGGAATGCTAGAATTTTGAGTTTACTTTAAAGGCCAGAACGAGGTTAGTTGACTCTATGATGAGGGATGCGTCTGTCTGCTGTTCAAAAGTAAAAAACCACTACTTTGGAATCAAACTTTACTGGATACCACCCGAAAGACAGCCTTAATATTATTATTGACAAATAAAAGGAGTTAAAAAATAATTTTAGTGTAAATGCATTAAAACACATAAAGTGGTAATTTTATCCGGTTACCACACTAATACGCTTAGATCAATACCATTTCTCATACGTCATGTTCATGCTTCTTACTTATGAAACCCACTTGCGTTCTTTATCAAAGGGGTTACAGCCAGTTTATTTGTTCATCTGCTTTCCTAACGCCATTTAGATTTGATCTCAACATTTCCTTTTTTCCACGTGATATTGATAACTCATTAGTCATTAAACAGTTATAGCAAACCTTGACAGTTTTAGTTGTTTTTTTTTTGCAAAAATTATGCATGCATCTAGCTTACTTCCACAACGATGCTCGTAGTGTACCGAATGAAGCAGATTTTTTCCAAGGTACAATGTCCCTCAAATTGACGTGTGGTAGCATAATTAACCACAAAAAATATAATTTTTGCTGTTCTTAAACTATACGCATAACATTTTTTCAATGAATGTTAAAACTTATACAGCTTAGATCTGGTTGCTGGAATCAGTTAAGCAAAACGTTGCTAGACGGTTTAATCTGTTAAATTGGTGCTATTTTTGACCTTGAAGTCGGCTCTTAGTTGCTGTAATGTGCACGTTTGTATAGTGTCCATGTAAGTATTATGTGGGTGGGATTAATCTAATCCCTTTTCCGAAAGCTATCATTTTTAATTATTTTTTACATTCTGAGGCATTCTGTTTTTTTCCGTTTCTCACTAGGATTTCTTCCTTAAAACCTACCAGCCAAAATATTTTTCTTTAAAAGCCTCCTATTTTAAAGTTGATAAATACGTGGGTCAGTACTAACCTACGAGTCTTTGATTTCATTCATGTTGGTTTTGGGCATAAAATATGTTATATTTAAGTCGCAACGTAGCTCTTATTGAATTCCGTTACACCGTATTTCGTCGAACATTTTTTTGAACGCAGTCTTACAAATACCATGCACAGTAGTTTTCCCCTAATTTGTTCTGTTTTTAGCTTATATTTATAATTTTGGCCATTTTGTGCATAGAAATTTCTGACTGCATTCTGCATTCGACTTCAATTACCAATTTCAAATAACATGTCATTTTGGTAGTTTAGTTGGTCGGTCGTCTTTTTCATTATTGACACAAGGAATCGCGTCCATAATTTGTCCTATATACTTTTTTATCCATTGATGTATATACGTTTATATTGTGTAACGTTTTAATCGGTATGCAAGTAATGAACTAAATATTAATTGCTCTTTTTTTAGTTTTTAACAATGATGCTGTTAGACGAAACTACTGCCCATATTTTGGGTGGTGGGTAAGTATGCCTCTGCTATATTAAACAGCCTAAATAGATTGGATACCAATGGCATCCATTCTACCCTTATTTTGCTTACCCTCCTAAACTGGTGTTCCCTTCGCTTCGGGTTTATATGAATTGCTTGGAGTCCTATATCGATTCATAATATCTTTTTATTTTTTTAGGTTTGTACTTCTTTTTGCGAGTGCTATTCCTTTGTATTGATAATGTAGTATTGTGTCGCAAAGCATAAACAACGCTGTATTCACCAGTTTCATTGAACATACAAATGTTTTGTGCCGCTCTAAACTTAAGCCAGTGCACCACCGTAATCTCATGTCTATTCCAAATTTAGTTCTCCCCTTTGTATTTGTTTTTCTCTATCGATTGTTCCACTTGTGAACATTTTAGAATTGGTGGAACAGTTGGTGCTATTGTCACATGTCCACTGGAGTTGATTAAAGTACGATTTCAGTCGTCTCAGGGATGTGCCCTCTCGGACTCTTCGTGGACACACGTTCTTCACTTTCCACAAGCCAATCTGACAAAAAAAAGTTCCACCTCACATTTACATCCAAATATATCATCGCCGTCGATTTTTTTCCAGGCTCACCAGAAGTCCACAGCTGCAACTATCAGACTACCGAGTACAAAATGCGGCATCACCAAATATTCAGAGGTAACGGAGCTACCTAACAGACTACTTTTAAGGCGAAATGCACATCTACTGCACTCAAACGTACCCGAGCTTTTCGCTTTGGACTTTTCCTGAGATCGAAAATTATGCGATGCATGTTTGAGGTCGCACAAACCGAGGGGTATCGTGCACTCTTTAAGGGTCTCATTCCAACACTTGTCGGCGTTCTACCATCCCGGTTAGTTTTTTTTCTTGCTACTCGATTCATGAGGAAGGTAAATCTTCCAAATGCCGATATGCCACCTAAAATATATTTTTGCGTGATCAAGAAACTGGGGTTTTTCCGGCAAACGCTTCTATCGACTTTAAACCATTGCATTGTTCGTGAAAAGTCGTTTTTCTACTTTTCCTCAAGTAAGCGTACCATAATGCCAAGAGTTTTGTTTGTGTGACAAATTTTGATTGCAATTTGCCAAATGTGTTGACATGACTTTCTTGCTTTATGTATTATCACTTTGCCGTTTCTTTTGTGGTAACTTATGATTCCTTCGGAGTACCTTGAATAATGTCAGTCATTGTCGTCCACCTACTCGCGCTTGTATCAGACTGAAAAAAACATGCCTTGTAAAATTTTCTTTATTTATTGTTGAGGGTCTCTTGTCTATAATTAAATCTGTTGGCGTCTCGCTGGAACATGGGAGAAAACTAGTTTAGGTGTCTGCAATTGTCACTTTTGTTAATAAATATCGTTTCTGCTACACCATATCGATCGCGCCGGTATCGTCTCTTAGCTTTTAAGTGCAACGCTTTAATTCACTCGCCAAATTCTTGACATGTTGATGAAACTTGTTGGACAAATTAATCGTGTTCGTTCGCTCAAAATTAAATGCATACATAGTTGCCTATGCTAATAAGACATTTCATCAGTTTTACGACTGAATTGGCCAGAGTACAATAAAAGGTTCAATCGTCAAATGTTAGGAGAGTGTGTTGTCAAGTCGCATTGCGACGTCGAGTGCCTAACACGAGTTTCGATCCCTATTCCTAGTGCACTTATTTGTGCTGCAGCGTATTCATTTAAGTGGTGTTTATCTATTGTTTGGTGTAAGGTGTTTTTTTGACTCATCTTTGGTTAGTCACTTTTAAACTGCCGGCAAAGCTGCCATTCCTCAGCCAATCATATTTCATTGTTTAGATCCCACTTATGTCTATCCGCTGAAATTACTACAAAATTTTTCGCTTTTGGTAGTGCCGTAAACAGAAACTTAAAGATTGAACTAATAAAAAGAACACAATGGAACACGTTGTTCACAGGCATAAACTGTTATTATACATTGACTTTGCACGTTCCCTAAGGCGGCGACAAAATTAGTTGATATTTATAGTAATCCGCACACCATTTGCAAGTTCATGGCCGTTGAAACTTCTCTCTCCATTTAGAGGCATATACTTCTGCGCGTATCACGAGGGGCAGAATTTCTTTCAGCGCTTTTTTCCCGATGGTCACTCTGCTGTCTTTATGTTGGCAGCTGGATGCGGGAGTAAGTCGATCAAAGGCATTTTTTCCACTTATCATTTCCAACATCTCTTCATCCCCCTCCTCTTAGAAGATTGTACTCTTTCCACAATCGGTTGGTTATAGTAACGAGTTTCACCAAATTGAAGCATTTCGTAAATTTGTGGCTCACAGGTGGGCAATGGCGTGGTCATTTGAGTGATTATTTTAAAAGATTAATTTGTGCAAAGACAAGCCAAACCTATTCTTGGGTCAACACCATGTTCGTAGGTTTTACTGTCACCAATTAGACCAAGTCTTACCACTTCATCATTTCCCAAGCCTTGCATTTATCATTCTTGCATGAAATATCCATTCGACCCTAGTTTGCCTCATGCTTTTGTCTCCATGCAAGATGAGATGTTTCTTCTCAACGTTTGATGTAGTTATACTCCAACTCTTGCAGCTTCTCTTCTCCCGATACCCTTAGAACTCTGACCTCCAATATACCTTAGCGTCACCTAATTTTTTTTTTGAAAATGCGCTCCTCGGATATTAACATAAATTTCTGCATGGTTTTAAAAAATCGGACAATTGCAACCTCCAAAATATCGGCTCAAAGCACGTTTGGAAGGTCGAAATCTATGTTACTTTTGCGGCACCTGCTTCGAAAGCAAATTATTTGTTTTGAGATTTCTTACGTACCCTGGTTCCCATCATCCACAATTACTACAACAGCACGGGTTTAAAGGCCGTGGTGCTTCACACTAGTTCTCTTTGACTCTCTTGACTTCTCGCCAACTGAGGCTCGCCGCTCGTATCTTGCACTAGACGTCCTGTTGATTTGTAAGTCAAAACTCCTGCGAATACCTATCGTGGCGTGGACAGTTCCGTCCATTTCGAGTTTTCATGTTTAAAACGAAGAAATGTACTTTCTTCAAATGTATTCGTTTGTTTAAATCGTTGCACTCCTAAGCAACGCCTAGCTGTATTTGGATATGGAATTTCTTAGAAATAAACTACAACCTGCAAAATGATTCGTGTTATTACATTTATTCACTTTATACCACTGGAAACGCAAAGTTGACGTTGTTTAATATTGCGCAATCTCTGTGACACGCTGGATCTTTTGTCCTTGAGCCTTTCGGGATAAATTGTAGCATTATCTTCTGATGCTTATTCTACTCCGATCGCTGAGGTGAAGGGTGGCATTTTTCGAAATTCGATTGCGAAAGGGAAGTTTCGCAGTGCTAGTACTTTAATTTTGCAATTTAGTGCTTTTTTAGTTTATCCTAGTGCTTATCTTTTCACATGAAAAAGTGATTCCAGCAGTTCCCTCATGCCAGATTAAATTCTCGCATGTAGAGGTCTTTGTTTGAATCGATTCGTAGACTTGTTATTAGTGTCCATTTCAGGAAGACGCTTGGTGTACATTTTCTTTTCGAGAGCACCACTTGACGCAGCCACTTCGCAACTGATGTTTTCATTGTCATCATCTTCCTTTCAGTACTTTAAAAAAACTTTCATTTGTTCGTCTATGTCAAATAAGTTTTCTTGATGTTTGGAGTTGTGCATTTCCATGCTCGATTGCTTTGGTTTTTCTGTTTTGTGCTAATCTTGTTGTGCAAATAGTTCACTCTTCTGTTCATGAACGCGCTCTGTCCGCCGAGGTGGCCATTGCCACCTATACCCAAAGTAATGCCTGTTTACGTTTAGCATATAGACTAAAACCTGCTTTTGAGTGATTTCTTGTTAATCTGATAAATTGTGTCTTATTTTATGAGTATAAAATGGTGATTATTATACGTTAACACTTTTTGATATATTTTTCAGGTGTCACAGCGTCCACTCTCACAAATCCCATTTGGTACGTCAAAACTCAACTCCAACTTGACGCCCGGTACGCTCTGTTTCGTGCTTCCTGCATTTTCTGTTCCAATCCGGAAATTGGGTATTTACGCTCTTAGACTATGTCGACTTAGATTTGTCAAATTTGATGCAATCATTGTCTTCGAGCTATTTTGGAGTCTCGACGTTTCTTAAATTCTTCATTTCAACCTTTGTATCAACGCGATCGCGTTGCTAATTAGCATTTACATTGGCTCAGTGGAGTAGTTCCAAAGGATCAAACCCTAGCTATCTCGTGTGCTAAGTCAATGCACTCAGTTACGGTGGACCCTGATCTACCGTGATTCAAGCAGGCGTCACTGTGTCGCCCAAGATAATGCGCTTAAGTAGTACTTGATTTAGTTGCCGAATTTTATTTGGAGAAATGCGTCTAATACCAAAGCCGGTTCTAATTTTTCCAGCCTTTGAATTAATAGGCCATGTTCTTCCCCCATGACGGTCGTAAACGTAGTCCGCTCTACCTGGCGTGATTACGGTTTCCGAGGCTTCTACCGCGGGATCAGCGCCTCCTACGTCGGTTCCCTTGAGACGGCGATCAATTTTGTCGTGTACGAGAATGCTAAGGGCGCACTTCTGCTGTGGGGCCAGCGCAGAAAACAATCCGCTCCATCGTCAATGGCCGTCGACAGGATGGAGACTGATGTACAGCAATTTCGAGGTACACAGGGCGGAAGCAAACTCAATACCACCAGTGATATGTTCCTTTGCATGTGTGCCAGCGCCTTTTCTAAGATAATCGCCATCACTGCTGCATATCCGCATGGTAATTTCTTTTTATTTGATATCAGCCATTTCAATTTCCTTCCCTATCTCACAGCAAGGCAGCTACTCCAACTTCGCACCGTTTGTGTATACTTTATATTTTATGCGTCCCAATACCATGGGCAATTGAGTGCATTTACTACACCTGTGTTCTTAAGTACTCGTGAATATTAGTTCTATAGGTTTATTCAAACATCTTTCGATGCCGGTCGTTTTATGAATTTTTAAGTCTTAAGTTGGAAGGTCAATGTGATCTAATTAATTTTCAATCAGCGTTGTGAGGTCTATCAGCACGTCCTACACTTGGCTTGCTAAAATTGCGTATTTTTAACCCATTCTCTCTCGTCCTTGACTCGAAGGAAAATTGGGGTATACAGACTTCGTTTAACTTGCCGCGGGGTTTGTTTCAAAAACGCAAGTTATTTCATTAATCTTCGTGTTTTCCCTAAATTCAGTGTTTCGTAATTACCTATAAACGTCGACAAAACTCGATATTTGGGTCAAGCACCTGTTTTGTTCATTGGCGCACTTTTCTCCTCGCGTAGAGGTTGCTCGAACACGGATGCGGGAGCGCGGGAACAAGTACCGGTCCTTTGTGAGCACCTTGCGCACAGTGTTCCTCGAGGAGGGCTGGCAGGGTCTGTATCGGGGTCTCGGAACGCACTACATCCGTCAAGTGCCGAACTCGTGCGTCATGATTGGCACCTATGAGGGAGTGATCTACCTCTTGCACTCCTGGAACCTCGTCTCTCCAAGGGAGTGACAGACTGCCTAGTTTTGTGTAGAAGAGCCAAGAATGCTGCATTTCAGCCTACCTCCTTCTTTCGGTGTACATATTTCTTACCACAATTGAACGCGACACTAACAGTAACCCTCTCAGCCCTCACTTCCCATTTCTATTGCTTGCTTACGGTTGTTACTTTTAGTTAAATCGGGAGTCTCCCGGTGCTAAAGAACAACATCTACTACTCATTGTGGACCTTGTTTCATCTGATTTCATTTGGTCAAGCAACACAAATGTGGATACCACTATGAGTCAAAAATTATGCCCGCTTCTGTTGCTTTAAGTCTAATGAGATATATTTTATTTGATATAGCATGTGCGGTATTTAAATATAGGGATTGTATGCCATTTGCCAAAGTGTCATGGGTTTGATTCGAGTAAGCCTTTTCAATCTAAAGGGCATCATTAAAGGGTGCTGATGCTTTACTTTTCCCTGCTAACCTACTGCTTTTGCTAGCATAGCATTAAATTCTGTGAATTTTGCGAAATTTTATCAGTCCAGGTGTTTTGTTTCAAAAATCAGCAAGATTGCATGTAAAAATATGCAAAGGTTCCCTTTCAAGTTGTTCGGGTTTAAACCCTACGCCTTTCGAACCAAGTCCGATCGCATTACAGAATTGTGGAAACAATCTGCAATGTTTTATACTCACTAAAGAGAGCTACCCCGGATACCAATGCCCCTTGCAGTAGTTTTGTAATAGGCTGTGTTCTTTTCAAACAACGGTATTTGCTCGCATCTCCCACATTCTTCTCTGTGGACGCACACACTAGCATCAAGCTAGACAATTTGTTAACGCTCACAACCTAGAGAAATTGTTACTAGCCAAATTGTCGTATATAACCACTAATCATAACCCAAGTAAACGTTTGCAATCATCAGTGCCCTGCAACCATTTCTAACTCGTCCCATCGAGATAGTAAACTGTACGGTCTGGGGGTTGAGATGTAGCCTTGCCGGCAGTAACTCAGAAATGAAAAGGAATGTTTGTTACTCAGCAGTCCAAGAGGTTTGTGTACGATGAATGTGTGCTAACCTTCAACTTTTGAAATTACATGACTGAAGGTTTTAGATGGGCAATGTTCTAAGGCATGAGATGTTTTACAATTTCAGGTCTATTTTATAAGCTTGCTCAAGCGAGGGCTGGACTGCAGACATTTTACGAGACAGATTGACATTTCACGGCCTCTACGCGAAGTTCTCCAACACTCGATTCTGCATTCGAGAGACGAAATTTCGGTTCAGCCACATTAATGACACCCAGGATGCCAGGGGAAAACAGCATCTTTGGCTCACTTATTTCCTGTTCTTTTCATCAACCCCATTTTTGTTGTTGATCTAACTGGTTTCTACCATGGCGCTAACGAAAAGGTCGATTACTGGTCGATTTTCAACTAGGAATTTGACTTTGTCCAGCAAAACCAAAATCGATGTCACAATCTCTTGGCGGTGATTTCGTGGCCACGTGACTACATTGTCATGGGGATGCGATTTTTCACGATTGGAGACACACCGGATGGCCCGAAATCCACGCGAGGTGATTTTTCTCGATTTTTATGGAACATGGTAGGTGTACCCCATTGAAAGAAGGCCCTCAAATATGTTCGGTTGTGGTCACACTCTCAGAATGATCATTTCCAGTCAAAAATCACTCATTTACTATTTCCCGGTGGTAGTACGGAGTTAGTTATAAGACGTAAAAGAATGCTCACTGAGATTACGTGGAGAACGTGGCATAGCAACTCTCAGTAATGAAAAATGATGATTGAATAAATGACGAGAGTGCATATGGATCGGAGGTATTACGGCCAGTTGTCTTGAGGTTAAGTCTGTGTATTGGTATTTCGTCCGACGGAGATTACCTGTTTTTCAATCGATGTGATTTTCCCCTAACCGTTTTTTAGCTGACGTTGTCCGACTTGTTTTTAGCGCCAAACTGGGACTTGCACATGGATGCATTATTGCATCTCGAACAATGCGAGCTAGATAGGTTATTAATCATTTGGTTTATTTAAAGACTAGGCTTTAAAAATGTAAACAAATGGAGATAGTGTATGTGTCTATCGTAGAACTTTGTGAAAACAGTCTGTAAATCTACTACTAAATTAATAAATGTTTAGAAGAATCAATTCGCCGTCTATATTAATTTCCCTGTTTTGGCAATTTCACTATCCACATTGATTTTGAATTACTCCTTTATATCTTTTCGCGATCATTCCCTCGTTGTATTTTACCGTTTCTGAAAAATAGCGACTCCTTTTTAAGACGGCGCTGAACTTTTTTAAACAATGATTTTATATTTGCCTGGCCATAACTTTAACCATTGTTCATTAACCAAATGCTTTCAATAGCTTCGGATTGCGAACTGGCGCACTGAAAGGTTGACCGCCCTTTGAATTCAATTTTTTACCGTAATGTTTCACGAAATTTTCTACTCAGAAATTCCAACTTTTTGCATTATCTAGGCATAGTAAGCTCTCCACATTGCTTGAATTACACTTGGGTTTATTGTAAATCTCTTTAGTCTTAGTTTTGCGGATTATGTGTGCAATGTTCCATTCGAATTAGGACATCCCTCTGTTGGAAGGTCCAAGGAATGTCAGGATGCCCACTATTAGGGCTTGTTTAAAATCACACTAAACCTGTATAAATACTTAACCAAATATTTCTGATATAAATGCACGTTTCGCGGCTTATCTAGTATATTTCTTAATTAATTTAGTGTCTAAGGAAAAAAAACTATTATTGTTAATATGTGCTATTCTAAGGAATATCGGCTTTTTCGGAAATTCTCTTTGATATCAGAAAAATTCTTGGGGTTTTACATTGAGACCCAATGTCAAGAGATGGAAACCTAAAATAGCTAAAAAGGACATTTCACTGCAATCTGAATCTGATAATGCAAAATTCAATTTTTTCTATTTTAAGCAAACCGACATTCTGTCTTAAATTGCACTGGTATTGTTAATTGCCGCGTGTCTCTGCGAAAGGATAATTTTCAAATAAAGCACAAAACAGATCATAAAATTGTGCGACGTTCTTTGAAGACCAAGGCTTGTTATATTTATGTAAGTAAATCAGAGGTTATGACACTGGAAATTTATCAATATGTATTTTTGTCCCCAGGTGGAATATTCATCCCGTATTTTATTTGAAAGTGTTTTTCTTTTCGTGAGTTCATGAAGTTGAGGGACCAGCCCGCTTGACCAAGAAACGATTCACTTCACATCTTTCCCCATTGTTACACTAGAACGAAACTTCATTCAACCACTGTTTTCCCTAACTACCGAAAAGGAAATAAATAGCATTTAAGACTAAAATGCAACAGTTAAAACGATGTGTCAACAGTAATTGCATGCTACGCTTTTCAGTCAGAGCACTGTAGCTAATGCCCATCGTCCTAAGATTCCCGGGTGTTAATATCTAAATGAAAAATAGGGCTGCCGTTTCCTATTAATGCTCTTTTTCAGAACAAAAATTTCAAATATAAAGGCATGGAAGGAAATCTGTAATACGAAAGATTAGATGGAATTGTTAGAATGATAAGCGTTCAACAACGTACCAAATAAGCTTAACATGACAGGTGAGGGGTGGCGTACCTTATCTAATTACAAGTTATTTTACAGGCGTGCAGCTTATGCATCAAACAATCACGTCATTTAGTGCAAATGATGTCAAAGATCAAATGGTTTCAGACAATCCCGAAGATATGGTACTGTCACAGAAACCATTTCAGAATATTTAAGGACTACACTATTAACTCAAACAGTAAAAGGAAAACAATTGTCATTCTAAGAGGGATCGCTTTTCTTCGCACTAGACAGCACAGCCCAAATGCGGGCCTGCTACCAACGCGGGAGCCAGTGCCAATTCAAGGCCACCGATTACGCAGCACTTGGAAACCCTCAAAATCTCGTTCTGGTGGCGCCAATCGAACAAAAACGTATCTCGAACTTCGAATGCAATGCCTATGGTCAGGATAACCAGGAAACATTAGACAGGCAACCCACGAATGTAGGCTTGATGGCACGCTTTATTCGTTCCTGCAAACACGTCTTATGGAAGAAAAGGTGATTTTCGTCGGACCAAATTCCAATATCCAGACGTAAATTCAAGACAACTGGCCGTAATACCTCCGATCCATATGCACTCTCGTCATTTATTCAATCATCATTTTTCATTACTGAGAGT